TTTCATTGTACCAGCACTTCCTTTCTGGCAGAAAAAAGATGGGCATTCCAAAAATAGCAATGTGGGAACGGGGCTTGGAAAAAGCCAGGGAATAAGGAAAAGCAGCTTACTGACTATGCTGGACACTTAAAATAAATTTCCTGGCCCATGACTCCACAAACGCAGCCTGAACTAAAGTCACACAACACATTGTCTGAGGTCCTGTGCAGATGCCAATTTTAGCTTCACCCAAGACAAAACACATTTGACCTCTTCTGACTATAATATTATTTATTCGTTATTGTAGATTCATTTTCCTTAATTCTTGTCATAATCAACTCCCCGTTTAATGCAGATATTTGGTCCAGCTTGAGCTTGACAGGTCTTACATCTGTTGTACACAATCACTGCCAGGTTAAATGTGTAGCTGTCCAACAGTGTCCAGAAGATACTGTTTCCTTGAAGTCATCCGCCAACTCTGACTCTTCCAGTCTTCTCGCCCTTCTTCCACAACATTCTTTTTGAAACTAGAAATATGTGTATTCTATTTGGTTCTAGATATTTATCAATATTTTATTCTATGTATGTTGGCCAGCTGTGGATATCTCTATTGGTTATAATCTACTGCAAACAAGAGCTTTCATGATAAGGCTTAAGCATACCTTAATCTATGAGTATCATGGAAAATCATTAGGAGCTATTTTAATGTTATATCTTTTAGCAGAACAGTAGTAGGTTCTCACCAGGGTGTAGGACCAGCATAAACTTAGGTTGTTGTCCAGGTATGGTTCCAAGTACGGGTACCATCCTGCGGAGTAATATTAAATCCAATCAGGAAGGAGTTGCTCACTACCCTGACATTGTTGTAACTCTTGAATTGGTGGTTATGGCTTATATGGACAGTCAGTATTGTAGCTCACAGAGGTCATACCTGGATATGATTAATATTTCATTTTCTCCTCTGCCTCTATGGCTAAAGAACTATGAAAGATAACCAGTAGGATCATCTAGGTCCGTATCAGTTACGATCTATAACTCAGGAACGTGGTGTTTTCACTAACAGGACCTTACATCAAGTTCTGGAAGGTACCTAAGAACACTGACCATGGCCTGTAAGTATCAGGGTCATCCATGGCCAACAAGTCCAAAAAAGCTAAATAATTCCTGGGTCTGGGCTTTTCAATTGTTACCCTGTGGTATCTAGCAGGAATTATTGTTGCTCCAGTGGAGAGCAACTTCATCTTCTTTCTTATGTGTGTATACAAATATTTAAGAAGTCTCTACATTAGTAGGATACATGTAACATTATGAAAACCCTATACTGTTATTTATTCCACCTACTTCCCTGCCAATAGGCCTAAAAGCCCTGTCTGCTCACAGTTCTTAGAGAAAATGAAAGCCATTCTGACAGTGGAAGGAATGCAGGTCCTTCAATGAACTCTCACCCACAATAGCAAGGAGAGCTGCATTTCCAGTCATTTCTGGGAATGGGAAACTGAAACTGCTTCTCTGTGCTGCTTGCAAGTCATAAACAGTGCACACAAGGAATGTAGGAAGATGGGGAAGCCATAGAGAGGAGTTTGGGTGAGCCTCCCTGTTCCACTTAGATCCCTCACCGTCTCTCCTGTCTTTCCCTTTCTCACCCACGCACCCATCCTTCCTCCTCACCACAGTACATTCACCACCCTCTTTTGTATTTTGCAAACGTTCTTATGCAGCTAGGCTGGCCTTGCGATGCAGTGGAACAATTGATGAGCTTGAATTTCTGTTTGTTTTATCTCTAGCTCCCCAGTGCTGGTATCAGAGGATTTATGTCATGATGCGGGTTAAACCAGGGCTTTCTGAACTCTACCAACTGAACTATGTCCCCAGTCTTACTCTTTGTCATTTTTTTTAAATTATATATGTATATATGTAAACATATGGGATTAAAAGCATGTGCTACCTCTGTAGGACCATTCATCTCAAAGTGAAATATTGAGGGTTGAGGGTTGGAGCGATGCCTCAGTGGTAAAGCACTTGCTGTGCATGCATGAGGACCTCACTTAGGTTTGCCACACCCACTAACGCCAAGCATGGTGAGGCAGGATCACTGTGCAGTCTTCTATCCATCAGTGGTTACTAGGATCAATGAAAGACTCCGACTTAAAAACGTAGGTGGAAAGTGATGAAGGACATCATACATTGACTGCTTCCCCACAGCCTCCACAAATGTACATGTATTGTTGAGGGCACACATATTCATACACACACACACACAAACACACACATATGAGTATACAGCACAAACACAAAAGTCAAATTTGAATTCTAAAAGTGCTAAAAAGTTTTTTGTAAAATATATTAAAAATTAAAAACCCATTTCTAGCTAAGACATGAACAGAAAATGATTCCCATCTTCTGAGTCTGATTTAAGCCTTACCCAACTGATGGAAAATAACGATGCATATACTCTTTAAGTAATCTCGTTTTGTTGTTTGCTACAGATGTCAGTTATTTGAAATGCTTCTTATTTGCAGGATGAATTCACTGTTGTATGTTTATCAGTAACAGCTGGAAACAGAACCAGTGACATCCTCTGTAGCACTGTAGTGTACTCAAAGGAGACCTAACTGCCTTACTTAGGATTAGCAGTTTCAGAATGACTTGCTTGCTTACTTTCTTCGTTAGAAATTTTGAGGAATTTAAATGTCATCAGTTGATTATAAAAGGGCATCTGATCTCAGGACACACAATAACTTCATTAGCTGTTTGACACTGCCAATTCTAAACATTCATTCATTAGTGGATTCTAGCCATAAACATAGGACATTGAGCCTATAGTTCATGATCCTAGAACAGCTAAATAATAAGGTGAACACAAAGGAAATATATATAGATCCTCCTGGAAATTGGAAGCAGACAAGATCGATAGGCAAAAGTTGGGAGCATGGGAGTGGAGGTGGGGTGGGGTAAAGGCGTGACAGGGAGAGAGAAGGGAGAAGAGGGGGGGTTTAGGGAGAGCTTGGGGGAGTGGGATGGTTGAGATGGAGGAAGGGGGCAATCGTACAGAAAGCAATCTACTGATTCAACTCAATGCCCATCAAAATCCCAGCAAAGTTCTACAAAGACCTCGAAAGAACGGTACTCAACTTCATATGGAAAAGCAATAAACCCAGGATAGCCAAAACAATTCTGTACAATAAAAGAACTTCTGGAGGCATCACAATTTCTGACTTCAAACTCTACTACAGAGTTACAGTACTGAAAACAGCCTGGTATTGGCATAAGAACAGACAGGAGGATCCAAATGGAACTGAATAGAAGACCTGGATATCAATCCACATATCTTCAAACACCTGATCTTTGATAAAGAAGCAAAAAATATCACATGGAAAAAAGGAAGCATATTTAACAAGAGGTGCTGGCATAACTGGATATCAACATGTAGAAGAATGAAAATAGACCCATACCTATCACCATGCAAAACTCAAGTTCAAATGGATCAAAGACCTTAACAGAAAGCCAGCCACACTGAACCTTATAGAAGAGAAAGTGGGAAGTTCACTTGAATGCATTGGCACAGGGAACCACTTCCTAAATAGAACCCGAGCAGCACAGACACTGAGAGAAACAATGAATAAATGGGACTCCTGAAACTGAAAAGCTTCTGTAAAGCAAAGGACACGGTCAACAAGACAAAATGACAGCCTACAGAATGGGAAAAGATCTTCACTAACCCCACATCAGACAGAGGTCTGATCTCCAAAATATACAAAGAACTCATGAAATTGGACACCAAAAGATCACATAATCCAATAAAAAAAAATGGAGTACAGACCTAAACAGAGAACTCTCAACAGAGGAATCTAAAATGGCTGAAAGTCACTTAAGGAAATGTTCAACATCCTTAGTCATCAGAGAAATACAAATCAAAACAACCCTGAGAATTTGTATTTTTAAAATGACTATTTTACCAAAACAGACTTACAGATTCAGTGCAATCCCAATCAAAATCTCCAGCATGGGCACACTTCCCCAGAGTGATTTTGTCTCAGTGATGTTGGCTTCTTCTTAATCACCACTAATTTCTTAGCTCCAATTGACCAGCATCTATTGTCCCTGTAAAACAAAGACTGACTTCATTAGCTTTGCTCTTGTTAATTACAGCTAATTCTTCAGTCCCAGCTAACCATAACCACAGATCTCATTTTTAGTCTTTAAGTGACTTGCAAACTTCCCTCTGGAACTTCTCAAGTTAGGCCTCCACTGTTTGCTTTACTCTCAACATTCTTAACTTCCAAGCTACAAAAGAAAATGTCATTAAGCTTTGAACTCCTAATGGATTTCTGTTTCCAAGGTCCTTTCACAGTCTTTCTCAAAATAACATGCCAGATCTCTCACCATAGCCCATAATCCTATTACCATGTTATTTTAAGGTTTCTATTTCTGTGATGAAACACCATGGAGAAGGAGGGGAACCTGGAAGTAGTTGTTGATGTAGAGACTCTGGATACTGCTTACTGGCTTGCTCCCCATGGCTTGTTCCAGCTGCACCTTTTTAGAACCCAAGACCACCAACCCAAGGCTGGCACCATCCACAAGGAGCTGGGCCCTCCTCCAACAATCACTAATTTACACAGTGTTGTACAGGTTTGCCTGAAGCTCAATCTTATGAAGAAAATTTTCTTTTTTGAGGTTCCCTCTTCTAAGACTACTACGACTTGTGTCAAGTTGACATAAACTATCCAGCACACAGGGGTCAAGAGAAAATAAACTCTAATGGGTCATGGAAAATCTTCTAACCTCATTAGTAAGTTGGTTTTGGAGCTCCTCTCAAGGGCTAAACATTAGGTTTAAATGCAACTTTGTGATTGCAATTTCCATTTCCTTGAATTGTGGAATCAATGAAAAAAAAAAAAGCACGTTGGGTTTCACTTTCATGTTCTCGGAAATGTAGGAGATTCTGGAAAGAAACTGGACCCCCTCTCCTATGTGATTGGCTAGCACACTCTGAAGGTGGGACAAAAGTCAAGACAAAAGAGCTACCCATCTTCCTGGCTTCTGCTGAGGAAGCAGAGGGAGTTCCAGTGAGGGACCTCCAGCACAGCTGAGTGCTATTCCTGTCCTGAGCAGTGAGAGCATCCCCTGGACACAGGAGTTTCTGGTAACTAGGCATTCAATCTGACTTCTCACCCTCCTCTGTCTCTTTCCTAGAAAGCCTGTGAATAACAAGACATTTAGAGAGGAATCCTCAGAGCTGGGATTCTCAGTTTGGAAGCTAGGGGTCTTTGATTAGAGGCAGGCAGGACTGACTTAAGATGTTCTTAGGTAATTATTCAAGTTTAGATAGACCTAAAGCAAATAACAAGGTTATTATTTAAAATTTACCCAGTTGTTTTAGATTTGGGTTTTGTTTGTTTGTTAGATGAAAATGAGCCTTTCGGTATATATGTGTTGTGAATTATAACTATAGAATATATGAAAATTGTTGTGTCTAAATCTTGTTATTGCCCAGTATTTGTTTCTTGTTCCATTCTACCCAGTTCAGGATATTTATTTTAAACCCCAGTGGAAACTAGATTCGGGTAAAAGATGCCCTCTGTAGGATGCTTCTGCTGTAACTTTGCTGGGGAACAATTTTAGGGTTTGTTTTTGTTTTAAAAATATTTGTATTTGTTGTATGACAAATTAATTCATCTCTGTAATATTTTGATCATCTTCACCCACGATTTCTCTGTCTTTTCCCATTCTTATTCTCTCTGGGATCCTTCCTCTTCCCATGCATGCCCCTATGTTTTATCTTTTTCACATTTTTATAATACTCCATTGATTTGGCCTTTCCAGATTTAATAAATTATAGAATTTATGTGTTCACACTTGAAATTAAAAAAAATACTCCATTGATTTTAATCAGGATCACTTGCTTGTTCTGGTGTGGGATTATTTACTTGATCATGCTCAACTTTCTAGTTGTCATATCTCTATAGAAAAATGACTCTCTCCCCACCAATTTGTAATCCTAAGCTAAGGATAAGGCATCATGTATCATGTGCCTCTGATCTTGTTCCTACTGAAATGTGAACAAGCTAAACTTTATGTAACTCTGCTGCAGGTAACCTCAGGTGCCAGGAGTTTACACCTGCAAGTTCCATGTCATAGTCAGAAGAAATCATTTCATACCACTCCCCCTGCCCCATCCTCTGTTTTCTTTGGTGTTCTCTAAACCTGGTTAGGGTGGGGGATTGATAAAGATTTCACTATTTCATGTAAGAATGAGCACTCAACCGTCACTTACTCTCACCACTTTGACCAGTTATGAGACTATCCACTGGGTAGCATCAAAACACTACCCACTGAAAAGAAATAAATAAAAATTTAAAAACCAGACCAAAAAAAAAAAACAAATGGGGAATAAGCAAAAACAACCACAAAATCTTTGTCTCAGCAAGGCTGAGAGCATCAGAAATCTCTGGTATAATCCAAAATATTTAGAAGGAAACAGGCTCATTTATCAAAACAGCAGCACTTGATGCTGAGGGCCATTTTTAATGAGGAAATCCTCTTTGACTTGGTGGATTTTATCATGAAGTTGGGGCACTAGTGAAGAAAGGCATTCTTTTGTACTGATTAATATTTCATGCCACTATAGTTTGTTGTGGTCATACTCTGTGTAAGACATTTAACACAAATTTTTCTTGTATATTTTCTTTTTCTTGTTCGGTAGTTCTTTGAGAATTTTGTACAATGCATTTTATTTGTTTTTTATAACATTTATGTATTCATTCTCTGTGTCCTCATACACCAAAGCTAGGTGCTCACATGCTAGAGTATGCTTGTGGAGGTCAAAAGACAAGGTGTGGAAGTCAGTTCTGTCTGCTATGTGAGTCTTAGGATTAGAACTCACATCATCTGATTTAGGGACAGGTACCGTTGTCTGCTCAGTCTTGCTGGCCCAAGACAGTCTTAGAGTGTGCATAAGTAGACCAAGACTTGGGAACCAAAAGGATGGGAGGCTTTTATAAAAAAGATCCCTAGCAACTTTTGTCTTAGTAACTTTCCCCCAGGCTAAATGCAAAGGATTCAGGCTCATGGTTGCCCTGATAGATCCAACTACTTTCATTTTCATCCAGGTTCAGTCAGCTTTTGTGAGTGGCCAAATTTATTACCAAATACTTCATTTCAGTCACCATCACAATAGCTTAAATCTGACACCCCTTCCATCCCCCGCTCCACCACTCCACCCCTCACTGCCTCCATTAGGTTTAGTGAGGCTGACTGAGAGTTGAACCTAGATGTCTGTCCAGCTTGAGAGACAGTAACAAAACTCAGAGGGGACCCTGGCTTTATAACAGGACTTGCCTAGCCAGCAGGCCAGGAGCTGAGCGGCACCCCAGCACCCTGTAGAGTCATCCCTTTTCTGAGTTGGGGAAGAGGGTCTGGCTCTGTGGCTGTTGTGGACAGTGCTCTGCTGTGCTGCTAGCGGTGCTGGGGCTGAGGGCCTGGCCCTGTCAGCAGTCAGGCCATCAGCAGGAAACAGGAACAGTTACTGCCTTAAGGAAACTTAAGTTTAGAAATTTATACAAAAAAAATGTACGTGCCAATTTAGGTATTGAAACATCTAATCCCATAAATGTGTATAAAAATGTATTATGTACTAGCCATGAACCGCTATTGGACACAATGCTTTGTGACTTATCACAACTTTTACCTTATGGTTCTGATGAATATTATTTTGGTTAAAGTCTACTTTTGTAAATGTTACCAAAAGAAAATCAGTATCTTAAGAGAAACTTACTGATATAAATAAGATTAATTTTAGATTTGTGTCAGTGTAGTGAGTTTTGGCCTTAGGAATTTTAATAACTTTTAACTATGGCTGACTCAGTTATGCCCATATCCTTTTTTAAAATCTACAGCAATCCTCTGTCTTAGAACAAAATTAATTAAAAATTCTTTACTTCAGTATTTCTAAATATATATCAGTATATGTATGACCTTTTAAACATTTTTCTCCTTATTGGATACTTTTTACCTTTTTTAATATTGTGGACATGATGTTATAAATAAACAACTTTTAGATAGTAATGGTATTTGTTGCCCTGACAAACTAGAAGGGATGTTAAATGATTGATTTTCATAGGGCCCTAAGCTTAATCACACCAATTTGTCAGAACAGCCCTAGAAACTGTTACCAAAAGTGAGGTTATGTCCCCCAGTGTAATAGTCAGAGCTCTGAAAGGGGACAGAGAACAGAATACAGAGATTCCTTTAACTAGAGGTTACACAGCTCGCACCCCAGGAAGACAAAACAGAATGGTTGTGTGCTTTTAAATTAGAAAGCAGTGGAATCCTAACTCAAACCATTTATTGGCGTTAAGCCACTAAAACAAATCTGTAGATGCCATTCTGAGCAGTGACTGTGCTCAGGTCTGAGTTTTCGTTTGTTATGCTAGGGCCTCTGTTGTCTCTTAGTAGAAACTTTATCTTATCGAGAGTTAACTATGATAGTTCCAGCCACAATGTGTCTTAGGAAAGCAAAGGTCATTGTAATAGTCAACAGACAATTATTAACCCAATTAGTCAGAAGCTCAGGAAGAACACATGTTAATAATTCTGAAGGTAAAATCGCCTTTCACCAGCAAATCTAAGTTATTTGCCAAAGACTTTTTGAATTTATGTGCACTAAAAAGCATTTAGTCTCATCTAATAATTTCAATTTAGCTTAATCCCCTCTACCAGGCAATTTGGTGCCATAGAAGCAGTGTATGAGCATAAGCTTGGATGTAGATATAACACAATATATACATACATAAAATCTATATCAAATACATTTTAACACAGCCAAAGAATATTTGTGAAATGTATCCTGGAGGTTATTTTTAAAGACCTGGAGGTCTTCTGTTCTGATTATCTTTTCAGTATCTCTAAGTGAGCTTCAATCTTAACTCTCTTCTTTAAAAGTTTTAATTTTCTGTTGAAGCAAATTAGAAAACTTCTGTCTCAGTTTATAGTTCCTTAAACAGGATGACTAAACAGAATGTTGGTGAAGGTGGAAAACAATCAGTCAACATGAAAACTATTTTCTTTACTCACCTGAAATTTTGACTTGGATGCTTACAGAACTAAGTTGTAAAATCACACATCTGGAAGTTTTTGGAACATGGAAACACAAATGATCTAATCAGTAAAACAAACACAGATCCCATCCTTTTCCCCCTGAGATGCCTTTATGTAGCTTTATAGGATGAGAAACTCCACCTCCTTACCACTAGGAAAGATCCCAGGTCTGGAATTCTAGAAGCACACTGAGGAAGATTGTTGTTTGAGTAAGAGATTTGTTAAAAGGGTTGTGAATGTCATAAACAGACAGGCAGAGAACAGCTTGACACAGGCTCTGAGATCAGGCCCATGTGGCAGAAGAGGGAATCCTTTCTTATGGGTCTGCGCCACGTGATTGATGAGAAGCCTACAGTGCATGCTTGTAGTCAAGAACTCTATGGGTTGGGAGCAAGAATCTAGGGATAAAAGTGGTTTCAGTCATGGAAACCAAACCACTATAATTTCTGTAATGATCACCAACCAAAATGGGGTTGCTTTACAAGCTGAGGTGCCCCTGGTTAGCAATTTAGACAGCTATAAATTACACCCAGTGTTTCTTTCAATCTTCTAAGACCTCTTTTGAAGAGTTGGTTCAAGGGTCCTACAACACTGGCCGGATAGGAAAAACATCTGACGATTTAGAAATCTCAGGACCATCAGGCTAATCAAGAGCTGATATGGAGCCTGGGTCAAAACTGGTCTCGGTGAACATAGCAGACAAGGAGGACTACTGAGACCTCAAGAACAATGGCAATGGGTTTTTGATTCTACTGGACCTATTGGTTTCGTGGGAGCCTAGGCAGTTTCGTGGATGCTCACCTTACTAGACCTGGATGGAGGTGGGTGGTCCTTGGACTTCCCACAGGGCAGAGAACCCTGATTGCTTTTTGGGCTGACGAGGGAGGGGGATTTGATTGGGGGAAGGGGAGGGAAAGGGGAGGCGGCGGTGGGGAAGAGACAGAAATCTTAATAAATAAATAAATAAATAAATTAAAAAAAATAAAAAAGAAAAAAAGAAAAAAAAAGAGCTGATATGGGTTCCTGAGACGTCTCCCTTCTTGGCTTTATCTTTGGCTTTATCTCTGTCTGAGATACTCACTGAGACAGGCTTCTTCAGTTTAACCAACAATAGAAATTCATTGCATTTAATCCACCTTGTAGTGAGCTTAAGCCAAAATAAACAGGCAAAATATAACACATTGGATAAATACTTATTATATAAGTTAGGCAAAGCAGACATTGAGCTATTTCCAAAGTGATGCTTTAACTCACTGCCTAGCAAAGGAAGCATAGCTGTTTTCTTCATGCGGCCCATAGATATTCATATAGGTGTAGGCCAGCTTTTAAGCATGCTCTTTTTAGAATTACATTCCCTGAGCATGCTTAATATTAAATTGATGGACAGAAATGCCTCTCAGAATCCCCAGCTTCCACAATAACATTTTGCTGACAATAAAGAAAATGTTATTTTGAATGCAGGAAGAAATCTGTCCATGAAGGTACCTGCTTTGCTTAGTCAATAACAGATTGGCACATGTTCTTGTCCTATCTGAGCATCCACACATGGAGGCTAATCTCACATGGCTGTAAAGCATTCAGAGTACCCAAATATTTTTATGGGAAAGCCAGTAGCTTTACTTGTTTTCCATCTCATGATAGCTTCTTGTGTCCAGATTTAACATGAATCCAATGAATAGAGAGAGTCTAGTGGAACCTGAAGGTTGATAGCCCTCTTTGCTCATGACCTCTGCTTTCTGGTTTCCAGGACTCTATAGGCTATGGAATGATGCATGAAAATCTGCCATGGAATCTGAATGCTGTAGAACTGAGTTATACATGTCCATCTACACCTGTTGTTCCTACAGTAACTGACTTAGTACCTGCCAGTTCTCCCTTTCCCACTGGACCATCTATGAAGTCAAGCCTATGTATATAACCCAAGCACCAATACAGATTGGCAAATTCAGGTTCCAGGAGTTGCTCTTGTCTATATCAACTCAGCTTCCTGTCTCCTGCACATGTTGTCCGTGTTCATTTGTAATGCAGCAGGTGCCCTGCTTGTACTATCTATGTGTACCAAGCAACCATTAGGATGGGTGATGTCCCTAACAGAATTTTTCCAGCTTGGCTGTTGATTCAATTATTCAGGGAGGCTAAGTCTCTTCAAAAGAAATTGGTCCTAGGACATATCTGTGTGGCATGGTGACTGGACTGGCAAGCACTACACCCCATATAAATATGCATTATATTTTGCAAAGTTTGGTCCCATTTCACCTTAGAAAGAAGCTTGTCCATTGGCCTTCAATCCAACTCTTTATTGGAAAAGTGTTATATTTATAGATCAGGAAGGGTTCATGAATAAATGTTCAAATAAAAAGACTTCATTCACTTAAAGAGCAAATTTAGAAAGTTAGACATGCCGAGCAGATAAATAAGGAACTGTGTGAAACCAGAGGCTTGAAAGTGTGAGAGGCCATTAGCAGATCTAAGTAGAGGAATAAGAAGAAAATATTTTTCTTGAAAATACCATGGGTACTGAACAGTTCACAAAGGCCAAGTAGCACAGATGATAAAGAATGAAAGAAGCAGATACAGTCAGAAATGCAAACCAACATGGAGGCCATGACCAAATACAGCTGATTTGTACTGGAATCTGTAATGTGAAGGGCCTCTGGTCATGAAGTCTACATGGGACAGAGGCACAGAGCAGACTGAATATTAAGATGGATCCTCAAAGACACAATGGAGACTAAAACATTAAAGTCTCATGTGATGGTCTCAGATCCTGCAGAAAGAATGGCCCTACTGTGTCATTTACAGGTGAACTCTAAAGAAGCCAAACTCATAGAGGTGGAAGGCGGGGTGATAGGCAAAGCTGTGGGAGAGGGAAATAGGATGATGTTGGTCAAAGGACACAAAGTCTCAGATGTGTATAATGAACACAGTGGGAGATCAGATGCAGGACTGCAATCATTAAGGATGGCGTGTGGCAATATACTTGAAATTTGATAAAATATAGATCTTAAATTTCATAAACATCTTCCTGACTCTTCCTTCTTTCCTTCAGTGCCATTAGTTGGTCACAGTCATGGGTCAACTGTTCTCTTCATCTAAGGATGTGAGCCACGAAGATTTGGCCACCAGCTTTAAAGAATATTTTAAGAAGTTCAAGGTAGGAAGCAAAATCATCTCTCAGGAAACCATAGCTTCAATTGAGTTAAGCCTGTCGCAAGGAAACATGCAGGGGGCAAACTCTTCGATCACTAATGCATTAAAAGAAATTGATAGCACCCCACTCAATGTTGCTGTGACCGGAGAGTCTGGATCAGGAAAGTCCAGCTTCATCAATGCCCTAAGGGGGACTGGGCATGAAGAGGAAGGTGCAGCTAAAATAGGTGTGGTGGAAACAACCATGGAGAGACATACCTACACCCACCCCAAGATTCCCAATGTGGTTTTTTGGGACCTGCCTGGGATTGGAACCACAAATTTCCCACCCAAAGATTATCTGGAGAAAATGAAATTCAATGAGTATGATTTCTTCATCATTGTTTCTGCCACACGCTTTAAGAAAAATGATATAGACCTCGCCAAAGCAGTCAGCATGATGAAGAAGGACTTCTACTTCGTGAGAACCAAGGTGGACTCTGACTTAAAAAATGAGAAGGAATTCAAACCACGAACCTTTGACAGAGAAAAGGTCCTGCAGCAGATCCGCAGCAGCTGTGTGAAGACCTTTGAGGAGAATAAAGTTGAAGTACCACCCATCTTCTTGATCTCTAGTAAAGTCTTATCTGACTATGATTTCCAAATCCTGATGGACAAGATTATGAATGCTCTCCCTGTACACAAACGACACAATTTTATGCTCTCATTGCCTAATATTACAGATGCGGCCATTGAAAGGAAGCGGCAGCTCCTGAAGCAGAGGATTTACCTCGAAGCCTTTGCGACTGGCATACTCAATATGATCCCTTCACTGACCCTCTTAATGGGCAACGATGTGGAGAATCTTAGGAAAAGTATGAACTATTATCGAACTGTCTTTGGAGTGGATGATGCATCCTTGGAGGTTTTGGCTGAGGAATGGCGAGTGTTGGTGGATCAGCTCAAGGCAAAGATGAAATCTCCTCATGTGTTTGAAACTACAAAGGAAGAAACAACCATACAAGAAAGGCTTTCAAGACTTTATGAGGAGTTCTGTTTGACTAACGGGCACCTATTTGCTAAGAATGTTTATGTTAAAGAATTGTTTTACCTGAAATTTTGTTTCCTTGACATGGTGACAGATGATGCTAATGTTCTCCTTAGAGAGATATGTGTAAAAAATAACTTGGTTTCTGATTAGGCTAAAATCTTGTAGCTGTCAAAAATCAGAATCAATGACAGAAAAAAAAACACTGATATTGCAAAACAACATAATGGGTTGGTTATTCAGGCCTTCTAAGCTTTATTCACACTTAGTGATCATATATCCACATTAGCTGTAGCAAGGGGATCAAATATGCTTAAAGCTAAAAACATCTACTCACTTTGAATAAACGCTAAGATATATGAATTGCCTTTTTATCTGAATTTATGTCATATAAATCAACACCAATTTTTAGGTTTAACATTGTGGTGGGTGGTTTGATCGGCAGATTATAGAATCACATGGGAGATGAACCTCTGGACTTGTACTTGGGAAACTATTTTGCTTACATTAGAATTAGATTTTTTTCCTGAAAGACAGTGGTATTTACAGACACTTATGCTCTCTGGCTTCTGAATTATGTTCTAACTGGTCTGGGGTGTGAGGTTTGTGGGATGAGTTGTCAGAAATATCATTGAGAATGTTCAACTGTCGTTATTCACTTACCACATCAGAAATATAGGATATGCTATCCTGGGGTCATGCTGACTTTCTGTTTCCCTTCTTTAAAATGGCTATATTTGTAGGACGATGAGCATCATTGGTAGATATTCTTGGTTGAAAAGTTGACTATGTCAGGAATTAACAAAAACTCAAGTGGCTGGGTACATTAGTGATGGATTTTTTTAATTAACTAAATCATTTGAAGTGTGAAGATCCAATTTTAACCTAGATCTCTTGAAGTTGGAAGGTATGTGTTTAATCTGGACTACACCTTCTGTTGCCAGCCAATTTAAAGGATATAAAGAAAGTAAATTTCTTCTATTCACCTTCTTGCTCTCACTGGCAAGTCTATCCCTTCTCTGGCATTAGAGCCTACTTCTTCAGGATTCCAGTGTATACAGAAGACCAGCTGAGACATCCAACTGGATTCTTGGAACTTGCATTGGTAGACAGCTTTTGTTGAACTAGCTGGACCACAGCCAGTACGCCTTTCTAACAGTCCTATTCAAGCTATATATGAGACTTATATAAATATAGTAAAATGGATTGAGTAGAGCAAATGAAGTTGATCTATTATCTTCTATTTCAAGTGATATAAACTAACCTGGACTTTTTAAAGAACTCTAGGTCTTGAACTTGGTGTATTTTGATCTAGTTTCCCTTTTATTCTTTACATTCACAATCAATGTATTAGAGACTTTGGTATTGAATCTAGATTGTCTTGAATTTATGCCTAGATCAACGAGAAATGAGATTTTTGTCAATTAAAGAAAACTTTCTTGACTCATGCTATGAATATTCTTCCTTATAAATTAGCACAAGTAGAGCATAGAGTACATTTTCTGTTAATATTTCTCTTTTATCTATATATTATCTGGTAATTTAACACACATTAAGATTAATGTATAAAGTTCTTGTCCGAAACTGCTCTGTACACTGAACACATGAGTCATCTTACTGGATCCTATATATCAATTTTGTCAGATTCATAGTTTAAACCTACTAGAGCCAGTAAGATGAATCTATGGGTAAAGATGCCTACCACTAACTACCACTAAGTCTTACAACCTGAGATCAATTCCCAGAACTCACAGGATAGAAAGAGAGAATTGACTCCTGATGGTTTTCATCTGACCTCCACACATGTACCACAGCACATACTTACACATACACACAAACATTCACACATTTAACTTTTTTAATGTTTTAACCTAATACTAAAATAATTTCAGGCCCATTTGATGTCACTTGTGAACTGTACCAAACTATATTTACAGAGGAATAAAAATCGTATAAAAAATTTACCAAATTAAAGAATAATAAATAATTACAAATTCATTCTTAGACTGTCATTGCTTTGACACAAAACCAAAAGATATTACACGAAAATAAAATCACGAACAATATTTCTAATAAATCGTGATGCAAGAGGCCTAAGCATGGGCTGGAAAGATGGTTTGATGGTCTAAAGCACTTGCTGCTCCTTTATTGAGTCAGTGCTCATTTCTGAGCACCCACAGTAGACACTGTACAACCGTCAGTAACTCCAGTTCCAAGGATCCAGTACCTTTTTCTGGATTCGTGTGGCACCCGCACACATGGCATACACTCTCCCATATACATGTACATACACAATAATAAAGATGAATCTGAAAAAAAATAGTAGACAGTATTTTTAGCAAATGGAATGCGATATCATATCAAAGGGTAATGTGCAAGACCAAGAGATTTTTTAATCATAGTTAGGTTCATGACAGTAACAGCCCCGCAGCTTGATGCCAATTTTTTTTCTCTGTTACTTATCCTGTGGTTTTATTAACATACCCTATCAAAAGGAATGTTAGAGGAAGAGTTTTTTTTGGGTCTACAGTTCAATGCCTTGGCCTTTGTGGAAATCTTGGAGGCAGCTGGTCACATTGCATCAGAAAGGGAGAAGCAGATAATAGTGAACATTCATTCTCAATTTATACAGTCCAGAATTCCATCCTCATTCTCAATTTATACAGTCCAGAATTCCATCCTCATTATCAATTTATACAGTCCAGAATTCCATCCTCATTCTCAATTTATACAGTCCAGAATTCCATCCAAAGGAAGGGCACCACTCATGTTTATTGTGGTTCTTTCCACCTCAATTACCAGAGTCCAGAAATCCCGCATGAAATGCCCAGAGGCTGATCTTCTAGCTGGTTCTAGGCCTCAGCAAGTGGGTAACTGAACTAAACCATCACACCAGGAAAAGCCACACAATCACATTGGAACCTGAACAAGAACTAACAGAACCACAGTTGAGCTGGGGAGGATGGGTAGCACATCCAGGAGATGGGTGATGAGAAACACAATTGAGACTGACATGATGGTGAAAATGAATTACCCACATGGACAACCCAATAAAGCTAACTTTCCCAATATATTTTGAGATAGTGTGTCCTCAAAGTCCACCTTCAATGATACACCTCCTCCAATGAGACACACTTCCTAATACCTCTCCAACAGTTCCACCAATTAAGCATCTAGTACTCATTAATATGAACCCATTGGGGTCAAATGTCATTTCAAACACTACACCCATATCTTCTGGGGTTTCCCTATGTTGATAAGTTCACCATCATAAATCAATAGGTGGAAACATTGGTCTAGAGTCTTCTTTAATTTGCCTCTGTCTCCCAAGTGCTGGAATTAAAGGTGTGCACCACTACACCCAGTTCTGTGCTCAGTGGTCTTACTAGTTTGGGTAGTCATCAACAAACTAATTAATAAGGAAGTCATGATATTCAAAACAGTGTATATGTTACTTATTCATAAAAAACAATCATGTCATTTGCATATCAAACAAATGGAACTGAAGATCATAAATTTAAATAAAATAAACAGACTCAGAGAAGCAAGCGCCACATTTTCTCTCAAGTACAATCCAGAGAGAATAGAGAAAAAAAAAAGCAGACTTTGAGGGGAGAGGAATGGAGCAGGTGGAGAGAGGAAAACAGGATAGTGTAGGAGTGTAATACAATCAAAGTATATTGTATTCATGTGTGAAAGTATCATAATGGTACCTACCATTTTATAAAACTATATATACACTAAATAAATGAAAGGGCAATCTGAAAAGCTAAAAAGTAATAACACATTTCTAGTGCTCAGATATGCACAAAATTCACACAAATCAGAAGAAGAAAATCTAGTTGGGTGTGGAACCTCACACCTCTAATCCTAGCACTTGGAAGGCAGAGACAGGAGGATAGTAAATCTGGGGCCACTCTGAGCTACATAGCAAATGCATAACCAGATAAATATGACAGTAAGCCCATGATTCAAAGAACAGGGTTTTAGTAGAAAGAAAAAAGCCAAACACTGTGGTAGGAAGTAGGAAGTGCCCACTGACTTACAGGTAAGTTTAGCCATCTGGATACTGGAATATTGACTAATAGTGTAGTATGGCTTGTAGAATCATATCAATACAAAGTAACAGAAAAGGCATTTAAGAGAGGGCATCAACACTGCAAGACACATGATATATCCAGTAATAACTGTGAAGTCAGTATGTAGAACTCTAAGTACTTGCCACAATGTTTTGAGTGATTGTGGCCGCCTGAGACACTGAACAAATCCTGGAAACATTAGTGATTCTCACAACTGGGAGGGGAGATGGCAGGAGCATTTCATGTGCAGAGACTAGGGATACTGTTAAATGCAAAATATGGAAACTTCCCTTCTCAGTACCATTCAGTGCTCTCATAAGTACCCTTAAAGTCTTATCATACCCCTCAGTTACTAAACCTTTGACACAAAACTTTTCAGGAAACTTGGGCCATGGAAATATTCAGTGATCCCATTTGTCCTGCTTTATGTATTGTTTATTTCTGTGGTCACTAATCCCTGGTAACCCTGGCCTATCTAATTCACAGAGGTCTCACTGGCAGACTGGTGAAGCCATATCTGAAGGGAATGACAAAGGTCATAAAGCCAGCACACCTGCTTGATGAAGATCCAGAAATGTTGAGCCACATAATGGCCACAGTACCACTTTTGGTTTGGATCTCTGTGTGTTGTATGTCTGGGGAAACATTTAATATTTGTATAATTTGGGGATATTGGATTGACGGGAAATTTCTTTTGAATCATTTATGACTTCTCCCAGGAGTACTGCTTCTAAGCTTCTCCAGAAAAGTCCTAAGCATACTACCCATCCCACTTTTAGGGAGATATCCTTATCTACTTGAAGGTCTTCCTTACACCTTGGAGGTTATAGTATACATAAAGAAGCCGGAGATCTCTTTATAAGTCACGAGATATTCTTGAACATCTGCACTGTACTTAGGAACAAGAAAATCAGAACAAAGTAAACTTTAAAAAGTCAACAAGATTCCATAGGCGAGGGGAACTGGTTGCAGATCAGATTGCAAGTCTCTTCCCACTATAGGCTCAGGCGATTACATGACATATACAGCAACAAAGTGAGATTAGTTGAAGTTACTTCTGCCCTCCACAGGGACTTATATTGATGGACAAAGAATGGCGCAGAAAGATAATAAGAGAATGAGGTATCAGGACCTCATTTTCATAGAGAAGTTAACATATGTAAGGCAACTAGGATGTCATATGACCAAGGATCAAAAGAATGCCAGGATTAGATATAAAAATAATCCTATAGAGATATATAATACAAACATTGTATTAAGACAGAAATTCAATAATAAATACAGCAACATTGGCTGAGGATTTTTTTGGGCACTCTAACAATCAAGAGTTAACAATAAACTTTGCCTAGGCTGGCTTGTAGATTTTCTCTCTGTCTAGCATCCTTGAAGTCACAGAGCTGCCAGACTGAGAACAGGCAATTATATACTTCTAGATTGTTAAAATCTGGGTTGTTTGGAGGTGAGGTAACCCACTCCTGATGTTAGGACCAAGGGAGAGCAGTCCCCATTACCCAGCATCAGGAGTGTAGCAGAAACCAGAGACCCTGAGCCAGACCGATGACTCTTTGCAATGAACATTGGCAATAAAGACACATGTACCAGGCAGTTTCCTCTTGCTTGTAACAAGAGGGTGGGGGGGAACAGAGGATGGCCCCGGGTGTGTCTGGGCTGATAGGGTGTGGAATGCTTTACTTAGTGCCACTTCCTTAGCTGTCCTGCCTGCCAGATTGTTTCCTCGGGTGGCCAAGTCGTTTCCCTTTTGATGGCCAGACAATGCAGCACAGCCAGTTTTGGGGGGAGCCATAGGGCCTGCAACAGGTTTAGGATTTCCTGTTTATATTTGATAGTCTTTCCTTGTGCCGTCAGCAAGCCTCTCTCCATGGATATATAAAGTAGCAAAAGCTTAGCTGCTATCTGCATAACTGTTAATTCTTTTGTCCTTTCCCAAGTCCAAGGCCTTTACCAGGGCTTTTAGCTTGGCCCTTTGGGCTGATGTGTCAAGGGGCAGTGGTCAAGGGGCAGTGTTTCTGCACAAATCACCTCAATGTAAGGGATCTTATCAGGATGACCGGCATGGTGCAGTAGACCATCCATGCCACTCTATCCATAGTCTCCAGGTCGAAGGTTTCCCCCTGCTGGCCATCAAATATTGAGCAAGGGCCAGTCTACTGAGCAGAAGGTGACCCATTTGCTCTTCTGGACCGACACTCTGTTGTTGTTGGCTGTATCCTTAAGGTCCTGCCAGTGAGCAAGAGTTAGATCCAGAGGGGTGAAAGGTTTTTTTTTTTTTTTCCATAGTAGTAAAGGGAGAAGTGGAACGGCTTAGAATGAACAGAGCAACAAAGACACAGACTCTGATCAAAGCAAACAAGGAACAAGTCCATACCTTAACAATGTTTCAGGACAAAGAACAAAATACTTCCTCTTCTCTTGGCGAGGGAAGAAACCGAAAAACACTCCTGACTGGGAAGCAGACTTCCACAAAGATGTTCCTGATCGCTCCCTGCCAGAGTCGGCTGAAACCTGACTTCAGCTATCTCGAGGCTTGCAGCAGCCAGTCACTGGCTACAACCTCCACACAATTGAGACTTTCCTCAACCCCTCCAGGATCACTGTCCCAGTGAGGGCCTGGAAAACACTTGGTTTGCTCTCTCTCTCTCTTTCTCTCTGAGAGTGGCTCTCCCCAGGAGAGCCTTTCCTTCCCTCTGCTGAAGAGCTTAGAGGAGCATATATATCAGACAGTCAGCACATACAAACATACCTTACTGGTATTAGTACAAACCTCTAGACCTTGGGGTTCCGACAGAGGTCTCCACAGTTCCTGGCCAATGCACTAAATGTTGTGTCCAAGTCGCAACCCCCAGAGAAACCACCAGGATCCAGTCAAGTCCAGAATAAAAAAGCAAGGTTTATTCTGAGTTCTATTCAGGCAGGCTGAGGTCTCCCCCTGCTGGTCACGTATGGAGGAGAGCCCCCCCCCTTAATCATTTGGAGTTGACGTTATATAGGTAAAAACTGCAAGCAAGGTTCATGTTAGTCTTACATAAGAGCAGGTGTGTCTTATCTCTAAAAAGCCCCGTCCTCATAGTGGTTATGTCTAGCAAGTACGGGTTATGTCTAGCAGGGTACCCCTCCCAAGAGCCCTCCCCAGAGCCCTACCCGAATTTCTGCTCCCTGATGGACCACAGACCTAGGAGTTAAGAGGTGGCCTGCTGCCAGGATGCAGGAGCACTCTGTGGTGAGCTCAGCGCCCTAGCTAAAAAGCCCTCGATGTCCTGCATTTAAACACAATGCCCTAATTAGATATTTAGCAAATAGAAAGTTCCTTAAATCTTTCCTGTCCATACAGTAACTCAAAATCCATACAGTAACTAGAATCCACGCACAATGTTCTGTTCTGCTCCAAAGAGATTATGTCCCTTCTCTGGCTTCACCTCTGCAGCACTGACTTCCACTGGCTCCACCCTAAGGCTGTTGCTGTCCCTGTTACTGGCATCTCCAAATCTGATGGGGTCCCTTGATACCATGAGGCTATCACCAATAGCCACTCTGGGACTCTCTTCTTGGAGACAACCAAGCTTCCACTTCTCTCCAAGAGCCCTTCTATCCTGGGGCTCCCACTAATACTGAGGCTGCAACTTCTCCAAGGGCCTATCTGGGCCTCTCACAGTGCCAAACCACAGCTGCTCTCCATGACCCCTTCATGCCTTCAAACCACCTGGGAGACTCTTATACATTACCAGGTTAGGCTTCTAGTAAGATATAAAACTTTGATGGGCTCTGGAACACAGTTTCTATGCACAGACTCTGAGGAAACCCTTCACATAAGTGTTTTTGCCTAAGTGATGTTGTCCTCTTCTTTATCATTGCTAATTTCTTAGCTCCAGTTGACCAGAATCTATTGTCCCAGTAAAGCAAAGACTGACTTCACTGGCTTTGTTCTTGTTAATTACAGCTAATACTTCAGTCCCAGCTCACCAACTCAGATCTCATCTTTGGTCTTGAAGTGAATCACAAACTCCCTCTGGAACTTCACAAGTTAGGCCTCCACTGTTTGCTTTACTCTCAACATTCTTATTTTCCAAGCTACCAAAGGAAATAAAATAAAGTTTTGAACTTGCAATGGATTTCTAGACCAAAGTTCCAAGGTCTTTTCACAGTCTTTCTCAAAACAACATGTCAGATTTCTCACTGTAGCCCATGATCCTGTTACCATGTTATTTTAAGGTTTCTATTTCTATGATGAAACACCATGACCAAAAAATAAGCTGGAGGGGAAAGGGTTTATTTGGCTTACACTTCCATATCTCTGTTTGCCATCAAAGGAAGCCAGGACTTGAACACAAACAGGGCAGGGAAATTGGAAACAGTTGTTGATGAAGAGACCATGGATACTGCTTAGTGGTTGCTCCCCATGTCTTGTTCCACCTGCTTCCTTTTAGACCCCAAAGCCACCAACCCAAGGCAGACACCATCCACAAGGGGCTACTCCTTCCCCCATTGATCACTAATTTATACATTGTTGTACAGGGTGCCTGAAGCTCACTCTTAGGAAGGAGATTTTCTTTTTGGAGGTTCCCTCCTGTCAGATGACTATGACTTTGTCAGTTTGATATAAAAACAAGTTGATACACAGGATCAAGAGAAAATGAACTCTAATGGGTCATGGAAGAACTTCTAACCTTGTTAGTCTGCTGATCCTGAGCTCCTCACACTGGCTAACCCTTAGGCTAAAATGCTCCTTTGTTAATACAGAGATTTCTACTTCCTTCAATTGTGGAATCAATGAGAAAAAAATAAAAGCTAGTTTAGTTTCATTTTTCTGTTCTTAAAGTGCAGGAAATTCAGAAAAAAAAACTGGACCCACTATCCTTATGTGATTGGCTAGCACACTCTGAAGGTGGGACAAAAGTCAAGACAAAGGAGCTACCCAACTTTCTTGTTTCTGCTGCAAAGACTCCAGCACAGCTGAGGGCTGTTCCTGTCCTGAGCAGTGAGAGCATCCCCTGGACACAGGAGTTTCTGGTAACTAGGCATTCAGATCTGACTTCTCACCCTCCTCTGTCTCTTCCTAGGGAGCTGTGAGTAACATGACATTTAGAGAGTAATCCTCAGAGCTGGGATTCTCAGTTTGGAAGCTAGTGGTCTTTGATTAGAGGCAGGCAGGACTGACTTAAGATGTTCTTAGGTAATTATTCATTTTTAGATAGACCTAAAGCAAATAACCAAGTTATTTAAAATTTACCCAGTTGCTTTAGATTTGGATTTTGTTTGTTTGTTAGATGAAAATGAGTCTTTTGGTATATATGTGTTGTGAATTTTAAGTATAGAATATATGAAAATTGTGGTGTCAATCTTGTTATTGCCCAGTATTCTTTTCTGTCCCTTTCTACCCAGTTCAGCATATTTGTTTTACACGACAGTGGAAGCTCGACTTGGGTGAGGATGCCCTCTGTAAGATGTTTCTCCTTACTTGCTGGGGAACAATTTTAGGATAGTTTTTGTTTGAAAAAATTTGTATTTGCTGTACAACAAATTCATGCATCTCTGTAGCATTTTTATCATCTTCACTCACTATTCCTCTCTCTTTCCATTCTCGGTCTCTCTGGGATCCTTCCTCTTTCCATTGTTACCCCTATGTTTTCTTTTTTGTTTTAATACTCAACTGATTTTAATCAGGATCATTTGCTTGTTCTGGTGTGAGGTTATTTACTTGATCATTTGCTCCTTTCTAGTGGTCTATATCTGAAGAAAAATGGCTCTCTCTCCCCCTACCAGCCTCTAATTTTAAAATAAGAATAAAGCTTCATGTGCACCAGATCTCATTCATGCTGAAATGAGAAAAACCTAAATCTTACGTGTGTCTCCTCTGGGTAACCCCAGATGCCATGTCATATTTAAAAGACATTATTTTATGTCATTCCCCCGGCTCCAGCCTCTGGCTCTTCTGTGGTGTTTTCTGAACTTGGTTAGGGTGGAAGATTGATAAAGATGTCACTGTTTTATCTAATAATGAACACTCAACCATTACATATTCTCACCAGTTTTGACCAGTTATGAGACTGTGCATTAAAACACTACTCAATGCAAAAAAAAATGGGAAATAAGCAAAAACAACAAAACAGTTGTCTGTGCAACGCCAGGAGCATCACTAATCTCTGGTATAGTCCAAAATACTTAAAAGGAAATTTTCCCATTTAGAAAACCAGCAGCAGTAGATGCTGAGGGACATTTTTAATGAGGGAATCCTCTTTAACTTCTTGGTTTTTATTGTGAAGTTGGGGCATTAGTGAAGAAATGCATCCTTTTGTACTGATTAATATTTTACGGCACTATCTTTTGTTGAGGTCATGCTCTGTCCAAGACATTTAATGCAATTTTTTCTTGTTTATTTTCTTGTTCGGTAGTTCTTGGAGAATTTTGTATTTATTTGTTTTTTAATAATATTTAAGTATTCATTCTCTGTGTCCTCATAAACCAAGGCTAGGTGCTCGCATGCTAGAGTATGCTTGTGGAGGTCAAAAGACAAGGTGTGGAAGTCAGTTCTGTTGCTATGTGAGTCTTGGGATTAGAACTCAGATCATCTGTTATAGAAACAAATACCCTTGCCTGCTCAGTCATTTAGCTGGCCCTAGACAGTTTTAGAGTGTGCATACGTAGACCAAAGCATGGGGACCAAAAAAAAAATGGGAGGCTTTTGTCAAAGATCCCAGCAACTTTTGTCTTAATAACTTTTCTGCAGGCTAAATGAAGAGAATCTAGGCTCATGGCTGCCCTGATAGATCCAACTACTTTCATTTTCATCCGGGTCCAGTAAGCTTTTGTAATTGGTCAAACTTTTTACCAAATAGTTAATTTCAGTAACTATCAGAATAACTTAAATCTGATACACCAACTTACCACCCTCTGCACCCACCCCTGACTGCCTCCAATAGGTTTAGTGAGGCTGACTAGGAATTGAACCTTGATGTCTGTCCAGCTTGAGAGACAAGTAACAAAACTCAGAGGGGACCCTGGCTTTATAATAGGACTTGTCTAGCCAACACGCCAGGAGCTGAGCGGCACCCCAGCAACCTGTAGAGTCATCATTTTTCTGAGTGTGGGGAGAGGGTCTGGCTCTGTGGCTGTTGTGGACAGTGCTCTGCTGTGCTGCTAGCGGTGCTGGGGCTGAGGGCCTGGCCCTGTCAGCAGTCAGGCCTTCAGCAGGAAACAGGAACAGTTACCGCCTTAAGGAAACATGAAGGTTAGAAATTTATACAAAAAAAATGTACGTGCCAATTTAGGTATTGTACCACCTAATCACATAAATGTGTATAAAAATGTATTATGTAATAGCCATGAACTGCTATTGGACACAATGTTTTGTGACTTATCACAACCTTTATCTTATGGTTCTGATGAACGTTATTTTAATTAAAGTTTAATTTTGTAAATTTTACCAAAACAAAATCAGTATCTTAAGAAAACCTTGTTGATATAAATGAGATTAATTTTAGATTTTATCAGTTTAGTTAGGTTTTGCTTTAAAAATTTTAATAGCCTTTAACTTTAGCTGACTCAGTCATACCCATATACTTTTTTGAGAAATCTTCAGCCATACTCTGCATTAAAAAGAAAGCAATTAAAACTCCTTTCCTTCATCATTTCTAAAAATACATATAAGCATATGTATAACATTTTAAATATTTATTTCCTACTTCTTCAATGAGGCTTTACTTTTTTAATATTGTGAAAATTGATGTTGTAAATAAACCACTTTTAGATGGAAATGGTATTTGTTGCCGTGTGAAACTTCGAAGGATGTGAACTGTTGCTTTTTCATAGGGTCCTAAGCTTAATCACACCAATTTGACTGAACAGGTCCTAGGAACTGTTACCATAAGTGAGATTATGTCCCCCAGTATAACAGTCAGAGCTCTGAAGGGAACAGAAAACAGAACACACAGATTCCTTAAACTAGAGATGCACAGCTCATACCCCAGAAGACAAACAGAATGGTTGTGTGCATTCAAATTAGAAAGTTGTGAAATCCTAACTCTAGCCAATTATTGGCCTTAAGAGACTGAAACAAATCTGTGGATGCCATTCTGAGCAGTGACTGTGCTCAGGTCTGAGATTTTGTCAGCTAAACTAGAACCTCCATTGTCTCTTAGTGGAAACTTTGTCTTATCGAGAGTTAATCATGATAGTATGAGCTATGACGTGTCATAGAAAAGCAAAGACCTCGTATATTCAACAAACAAATATAAACCCAGTTGGCCAGGAGCTCAGGAAAAATATGCACTAACAATACATAAGGTAAACTCAGCTTTCACCAACAAATCTTTTGCCAAAGATTTATTTAATTTATGTGCACTAAAAAAAGATTTAGTCTCATCTAATAGTTTCAATTTAGCTTAATCCCCTCTATAAGGCAATTTGGTGCCATGGAAGCAGTATATGAGCATAAGCATGGATGTAGATATAACACAATATATACATAAAATAAATCTATATCAAATACATGTTAACACAGCCAAGGAATATTTGTGAAATTTATCCTACAGGTTTTTTTTAAAGTCTTCAGCTCTGATTGTCTTTTCCGTATCTCTAGGTGAGCTTTAATCTTAAAGCTGATCTTTAAAAATTTTTAATTTTCTATTGAAGCAAATTAGAAAACTTCTGTCTCAGTTTATAGTTCCTTAAACAGGATGACTAAACAGAATGTTGGTGAAGGTGGAAAACAAATCAGTCAACATGAAAACTATTTTCTTTAATCAACTGAAATTTTGACTTGGCTGCTTACAGAACTAAGTTGTAAAATCACACATCTGGAAGTTTCTGAAACATAGAAAGCACAAATGCTCTAATCAGGAAAACAAACACGGATCCTAGTCTTTCCCCCTGAGACACATGTCTATAGAATGAGAAATTCCATTTTTATACATTAGGAAAATCTGGATTTCTAGAAGCACACTGGAGAAGATTGTTGTTTGAGTAGGAGATTTGTTAAAAGGGTTGTGAATGCCATAGAAAGACAGGCACACAGCATCATGGCAGAGACTTGAGATCAGTCCCATGTAGCCGAACAGGGAATCCTTTCTTACAGACCTGTGCCATGTGATTGATGAGAAGCATATAATGGATGCTTGCAGTCAATGACTCAATGGATACAAAAGCAAGGATCCTAAGGAAAAAAGTGGTTTTAGTCATATAAACCAAAGTACTATCATTTCTGATATGATCACCAACCAAAATGGGATTGCTTTACAAAACGAGGTGCCCCTGGTTAGCACTTTTGATATCTAGAATTTAGGCCCAGGGCTTCTTCAAATCTTCTTAGACCTCTTTTGAAGTGTTGGCACAGGAGTCCTACAATACTGGCCAGATTGGAAAAAAAAAAGTGAAGAATCAGAAAGGCCACAAAGCTTACTCAGGACCTAGGTCCCTGAGCTGAAATCTAGGTCCCTGAGATGTCTCCCTTCCCGGCTGAAATCTCGGTCCATGAGATGTCTCCCTTCCCGGCTTTATCTCTGGCAATGGAAAAGGGTCCTTGCTGAGACAGGCCACTTTAGTTTAACCAACAATAGAAATTCATTGCATTTAATCCACACCTTAGTGCACACAGGGCAAAATTATACAAGCAAAATTTAACAGATTCAGTAAATACTTATTACCTAAGTTAGGCAAAGCAGGCACGTAGCTATTTCTAAAGTGATACTTTAACTCACAACACAGCAAAAAGAGCATAGCAATTTTAATCACTGGGTCCATACATATTCATATAGGTGTAGGCCTGATTTTAAGCATGCTCTTTTTAAAATTACATTACCTCAGCATGCTAATTTTTAAGTGATGGACAAAAATGCCTCTCAGATTCGCCTACTTCCACAATAATATTCTGCTGAAAATAAAGAAAATGATAGTTTGAAGAAACTGAATGCAGGAAGAAATCTGTCCATGAAGGTACCTGCCTTGATTAGTGAATAACAGAATGATAGATGTCCTTGTCCTACCTGAGCATCCACACATGGAGGCTAATCTCACATGGCTGTACAGCATTCAGAGAACCCAAATAATTTCATAGGAAGGCCAGTAGCTTTACCTGTTTTTCATCTCATGATTGCTTCTTGTGTCCAGATTTTCCATGAATCCAAAGAATAGAGATAGTCTTGTGGAACCTGAAGGTTAGTAGCCCTCTTTGCTCATGGCCTCTGCTTCCTGGTTTCCAGGACTCTGTGGGCTATGGAATGATGCATGAAAATCTTCCAGCTGAAATCAGTGCTGTAGAACTCAGGTATACATGTCCATCTACTGTTGTACCTACAGTAACTGACCTAGTGCCTGCCAGATCACTCTTTCCTACAGTGCCATCTACGATGTCAAGCTTATAAAAATAACCCAAAAGCCAATACATATCAAGAAATTCAGGTTTCAGGAGTTGCTGTTATCTTTATCAATTCAGCGTCCTGGCTTCTCTTTCTTCTGTCTCCTGCACATGTCATCCGTGTTCATTTGTTAAAATACAGATCTTAAACTTCATAAACATCCTCTTGACTCTTCCTTCTTTCTTTCAGTGCATTACTTGCTCACAGTCATGGGTCAGCGGTTCTCTTCATCTAGGAATGAGCGCCACCAAGATTTGGCCTCCACCTTTAAAGAAATTTTTAAGAAGTTTACAGTAGAAAACAAAATCATTCCTCAAGAAACCTTAGCTTCAATTGAGGTAAGTCTCTCACAAGGAAACATTCAGGTGGCAAACTCTTTGATCACTAATGCATTAAAAGAAATTGACAGCACCCCACTCAATGTTGCTGTGATTGGAGAGTCTGGAACAGGGAAGTCCAGCTTCATCAATGCCCTGAGGGGGATTGGGCCTGAAGAGGAAGGTGCAGCTAAAATAGGTGTGGTAGAAACTACCATGGAGAGGCATCCCTACAACCACCCAAAGATTCCCAATGTGGTTTTTTGGGACCTGCCTGGGATTGGAACCACAAAGTTCCCACCCAAAGATTATCTGAAGAAAATGAAATTCAACGAGTATGAATTCTTCATCATTCTTTCTGCCACACGCTTTAAGAAAAATTATATAGACCTTGTCAAAGCAATCCGCAGGATGAAGAAAGATTTCTATTTAGTGAGAACCAAGGTGGACTCTGATGTGAAAAATGAAAAGGAATTCAAACCACGAACCTTTGACAGAGAAAAGGTCCTGCAGCAGATCCGCAGCAGCTGTGTGAGGACCTTTCAGGAGAATAACATTGAAGAACCACCCATCTTCTTGATCTCTAATAACATCTTATCTGACTATGATTTCCAAATCCTGATGGACAAGGTGGTGAATGATCTCTCTGTATACAAACGACACAATTTTATGCTCTCCTTGCCAAGAATTACACATGCGGCCATTGAAATGAAGCGGCATTTCCTGGAGCAGAAAATTTGGATTCAAGCTTTTGCATTTGGCCTACTCATTGTGAATCCTTCACAAACCATCTTAATGGACAAAGATGTGGAGGATCTTAGGAACAGCATAAACCACTATCGAGCTGTGTTTGGGGTGGATGATGCATCCTTACAGGGTTTGGCTGAGGAATGGCAAGTGTCGGTGGATCAGCTCCAGGCAAAGATGAAATCTCCTCATGTGTTTGAAACTACAAAGGAAGAAACAATACAAGAAAGGCTTTCAATATTTTATGAAGTGTTTCATTTGGCTAAGGGGGACGTATTACCTAAAAATGTTTATGTTAAAAAATTGTTTTACCTGAAATTTTATTTCCTTGATATGGTGACAGATGATGCTAATGCTCTTCTCAGAGAGATATGTGTAAAAAATAACTTGGTTTCTGATTAGGCTGAAATTTTGTAGCTGTCAAAAATCAGAATCAATGACAGAAAAATTGGACACTAATATTGCAAAGCAACATACTGGGTTATTCAAAGCATGGAGGCTTTATCCATACTTAGAAATCATACATCCGATTTGCTGGAGCAAGGGGATAAGATGTGTGTAAATAATCTGGTGCTAAAATATCTACTCACTTTGAATAACCCATCAGATTGTGTCATTGCACTTTTATACAAGTTTATTTCATATAAGTCCACATCGACTTTTAGGTTTAACATTGTGATGGGTGATACAATCGACAGACTTTAGGATCACATGGGAGATGAACCTCTGGATTTGTATTTGGGAAACTATTTTGCTTACATTAATTGAGGTAGGAAGCGCTCCCCACTGTGGGTGGGCACATTCCATAGCTACTGATCCCTGACTGTGTATATGGAAAGGGAGGCCAAGCCGCAGAACACTTGCACTCATGAATTGCTCTCTGCTTTCTTACTGTGGGTGGAGGAGGACTAGCTGCCCCCAGCTGCTGCTGCGACTCCTCTATAACTTTGAGTTTCACACTTATGTCCTCTCTTCATAGTATAACCACAGGAAAAGACATAACTGGGCTGGAGAGATGGCTCCATTGCCTTGCAAGTCTGAAGACCTCAGTTCAGACGCACAGAGACCACATAAAGCCATCTAGGCACCTGAAATCCATTAACTCCTGGAAAGACAGGAGGCAGAGACAGAGAATCCTGGAAGCTGTAGGGCCAGCTAACCTGACACATGCAGATGTTAAAAAGAGACCCTGACACAAGCAAATGGAAGGTAAAAAGCAAAATCCAGTGAGCTCTGTATATATGCCATGTCATAGTCATCACATATGCAAATGCACTCGCACAAAAAATATTTTCTTTAAAACTAACAAGGAAAGTGTGAGGTGGTAACTCAGTGGTATAATACACACACACATGTGACCTCGGGTTAAAGCCCTAGCACCCTAGAAACAGGGTAAAAGGTAAAGTGGAGAGATGGCTCAGAGGTTAAGAATGCTGGCTGCTCTTGCAGAGGCCCAGGGTTCAGTCCCCATATAATAGAACCCACATAGTAGCACACAGTAGCCTATAACTCCAGTTCCAGGGGATCCGATATTCTCTCCTGACTAGGAACACGTGTGGTTAATAGATGATAACACATGCAAGACAAATATTCATACAATAAAATTAAAGAAAAATGTAAGAGATACGTGTTTGAAAAAGGACTGCAAGAGAGAGGGAGGCAATAACCATAAAAGTCCTCCAATAACCAAATTCTAAAAATCCCATTTAGTCAGAATCTTTGAGAAAATATTAAGGAAGCTCTTTAATTCTGTACCAGTGATGATGAAGGGATTTCCTACTTTATATTCATAGGCTTTTTAATGTTGTGGTTACTCCATTCTGCAAATGTACCATATTTATCTTATCCATTCTTCGATCGAGAGACATTTAGGTTGTTTCCAGGTTCTGACTATGACAAACATGGTTGAGCACATGTTCTTGTGGCACAATTGAGCATCCTTTGGATATATACCCAAAAGTCATTTTATTGGGTCTTGAGGTTGTTTCCAAATTTTCTGAGAAATCACCACACTGACATCCAAAGATCACATAATCCAATAAAAAAAAATGGAGTACAGACCTAAACAGAGAACTCTCAACAGAGGAATTTAAAATGGCTAAAAGACACTTAAGGAAATGTTCAACATCCTTAGTCATCAGAGAAATGTAAATCAAAACAACTCTGAGATTCCATCTTACACTTGTAAATTTATGTTATCTGGAAGTGAGGTAACCCACCCCCGATGTTATGAGCAAGGGAGGGCAGTCCTTATTACTCATCTGACATGTCGTGGTATGGACAGAGGAGAGGTGCCCATCTCATACTCCATGCCAATCAACCCTGAGATAGGTGAAGGATCTGGCCCTAGGGTCATAAGAGCAGGAGAGCAGTCCGTACTCCTCACCAGCTGCAGCACTCAAAAGAGTAGCACCTGTACCTTGCAGGGATAACACAATAGGGCTGGCCTTGATGGTGTAGGTGTGGAAGAGCTGATCCTCAAAGCATGAATGCAGAAAAACTGGTCCGAATACACACAACATGGCTACAAGATGTGAATTAGCCAGGGAAATGATGGAGAGCTCTCCCTGTAATGAGGATAGGAGAGCACTGGTGGGCAGACAAACCCTGCAGCTGTTCATGCGCAGAACCACGGTTATGACTTGGCCTGCCCCAACTTCAACCCCAGCCATGATCTGCTAGATCACATGAAGGAACCTGACTCACAGACCCAAAGCTGCAGGATCTCCACAGTACAGGACAACAATATGATATCCAAGAAGTGTCCTAGTGAAGGCCCAGCATCAGTAGTGGAGTAGCCATACCAATGACTCTTTGCAATGAAGACTTGCAAGTAAAGATACATGAACAACGGGGTTTACTGTGTGCCTCACTGTGTCACATAACAGCTTCCATGACAAGATTTCTAATTTTTTCCTTTTAAAAAAATATTATTGTTGGCTCTTGTCTATTTTTTTCTCTTACATGTTGTTTCATTTGGGGGGTGGTGTCCAGGTATGGAGCACAGATGCAAAGGAATGGGGAAATTACTGGGATCAAGATTCATCATAAAAAGACACATAGAAAAAAATAAAAAGAGGGGAGGGAAAGGGGAGGAGACAGAAATCTTTAATAAATAATAATAATAAAAAGAAATTTATACTTAAAAAATAAATAAATTGGCAAACATACAAGAAATCTGTGCAGACTTAGGAATAATGTCGATCGTACCACCTTTCAAAAAAGGTAAAATAACAAACTGTATTTAAATATGATCTCTTTCCACTTAAATTGTTTTAAGAGCCCATAGAATCAGTGATATTTGGTGGCATTTCTGAGCAACACCAGTTACTGTTCTTACAGCAGTGGAAAAGAGACACAAGAAATTAAGGGCAGTAGAAACTATGGAAGACAAAATATTGTAAGAAGGACCAAGAATAAAAAAACATTGTTGCTTCACAATTAAAAACTATTTATTATTGTGTATATTCATGGGCATAGGGTTTATGGTATTAGAGATGCAAGCAAAAGAGCACTTGCCACAGCATTTGGAGGTCAGAGGCCAAATATAGAAAATAGAAAAGTAATTCTGCATGTACAATTATAGGCAACTTAATGAACTTTCAGATGCTCTGCTAAAACACATATTTATAGTACTACATGTCAAAAAAGAAATCTTGAAAAACTGAATAGGCAACTAGGGACTGCTGAAGGAAGAAGAATTAGCATTTCCCAAAGAAATGCTAATTATTAGTTATTATAATAATAACTTATTAGTTATTCAGTGTTGAGTGGTCTGACTTGATACCCTACAGATAGGAACAACAAAAATAGACTCAGTAGGTTTTAACATATACACATATAGTCGTAAACATATTTATATGTCACAATAATAGTAATAATAAGAATGCTATCAAGTTGAGAGTGGGGGAGGAATGGGTAAAGGGTCTTGAAGAAGGCTTCCCAGAAGAGACTGAGGGGAGGGAAGCAGGGAGCATGATATCATTGGATTTCAAATAAAAAACCCATATTGCTAAGAAAAAAAAAAGAAAAAAGAAAAAGAACTGGGGTTATGGGGTTGATGAGCAGAAATAATTGAAAAAGAGGATTCTGTTTATCAATGATGACTTAAATTGAGGGGAAGGGATTATATAAGATAATGTTATTCTGTCAGAGTTTATCAAAATAACTAAATATATGACTCCAGATATTAAAGAGAAAAAGTTAAACATGTGTCTTTCAAGAAACATGAAAAGATCTACATTTTGAAAAAACCTGTATCTATTGCTGCTTACTGAATTCTGTATAACGAGAGAAGCACTCTGACTACTAATCTGTCAGGCTACATGACTGTCCCCATCAACTTGGCCTGGCTCAATTCGTCCCTTGACTACTCCTTGTCTCCTCTCCAGGACATGTGACCTGCCAGGGCATGCCTCCTGCAGCAGACATCATTAATAGAGGCACCAATCACTTAGTTAAAAACACATACCCTGAAATGTGAAGGACACTCAGTGTGCTGGAGTACAGAGAGAAGGGTCACTGCAAACCCTGAGGGATATACTTACACTGCTGATGGCCACAGGAGGATTTTACTCATAACAGTACCCAGAGAAGACTAGATGCTGGGGATGCCCACAAAAACATAGGAGAGGCCGCCCAACATCTTTTACCTCGATGCTACTTGTACTGCTTGTTTATGGGAATCCAGTAGGCTGTGTAACCTTCAAAGGCTGGATCCAGTCTCTAAGCATATGAAAACACTGGGCATGGAGGAGCCAAGTGTGAAGGTAATATTCATATACAATCATATACAATGTTCCCAAAGTCTATTGTGGGAACTCCTTTAGCCAATAGCCTTTAATATAGTAGTTTAAGATGCCCCTAAATACCTTGTGTGGGCTATTGTACTATAAATAAATATGCAAAGCTTGTGTGGGCACTCTCCCCCCCCTTTGTCTTGGCTGCTGGACTGTAAGTCTACCCCTAAACAAAGAACACTTTATTATACGCCATTCTGAGCTAGTGTAACACTACTTGATTGTAATCATCCACAAAAGTCCAATGGCAAGAATATCACTCAATTTTAACCAAGAGCACATAGATGATATGAGTGCAGGAAAGAGGAGTCAAGCCTGAAAGTGACCACAAAATAAACAGTGCATCATGGGCCACTGAGAAAAGACGTGGACTCCCGCCAGACATACAGAGTGCTGAAGGGATGCTTGCTCCTCTCCATCAGACTGCATGCTTTCCTCGCTCATTCTTTCAGGCTCCATCCCTAATTCTAATGAAGTGTCCTCCAAATTGTTTGTCTTTAAACACAGCAAATGATAACAACATGAAGTCCTCACAGAGAAGGCATGTCTGAATAGCATCATTTGTTCAGTGTATGTTGACATGACTTTCTTTTCTTCACAATGTAAAAGAGTAAATTGGGGGTGTGGGTCACAGGAGAGGGTATAAGGGAACAGGGGAGGAAGGGAGGGCAGCAGAGAAAAATGTATAGCACAATAAAACAATTTTAAAAAATACAAAGTTAGTCTCTTCTCTCAAAAACCCACCCGCCCTATAGAAATGTTTGCCAATGGAAATGACCTAGGTGAACTCGGGATATTTATAAGAACAATCACAAACTTCATCAAAGAATTCAAGAAGTATAAGAACATAAACCCAGGTGCCCCAAGTGTCATCATGAAGAAATATATAACTGTGGGAGTCCTGGACAGGGACAGAGTCAGTTTTCTTGCAAAGATGTTGGTGGGATATTGGTTTCGTGGGAGCCTAGGCAGTTTCATGGATGCTCACCTTACTAGACCTGGATGGAGGTGGGTGGTCCTTGGACTTCCCACAGGGCAGGGAACCCTGATTGCTCTTTGGGCTGACGAGGGAGGGGAACTTGATTGGGGAAGGGGGAGGGAAAGGGGAGGCAGCGGTGGGGAAGAGACAGAAATCTTAAATAAATAAATAAATAAATAAATAAATAAATAAATAAATAAATAAATAAATAAATAAATAAATAAAAATAAAAAAAAGATGTTGGTGGGACAATGGGATTGACCCTATGCATAGTCCTCTGCCCTTTATTTGGCTAAGTGTGAGCCTGCGGCCAGATCGCCATAGACATGCAGAGCCATTTGTCTGGCTTGAATAGCTACCCCAACTGCAATCTCCAAAAGGAAGAGAGGGGCTATGTCGTGACATAGCTAGCCATCTTTAGTAACACTGGGGTTGGTTGAATTAAGAAAAAGAATTGTTGTAGGACCTGTAACATGGAACTTTTCATATCTAATGTGGACTGTGAGGTTGGGAGAAAGTCAGTGGGAACACGGGGGTGAGGTCTGTGCTTCTTATACTGTCTGGCTGTGGCAAGCAGTTTCTGATGGGGCATTTTCACCGGTTGCTGGAAATTCTTAATAATAGCATTTGGTCCTATAGCCACTAGTGGACTTGCTGTCTGAGGTTCTGATTCATCTAGCCAGATGGCACAAAGAACTTCTGGGTCCGTCCCCTTGAAAAACCATCTGAGTTTGGAGAGCATCCACATTCTCCAGCTATAGCTGGCTTTCCAGACAGTGGCCTCTTTGCCTTCTTTGGTAAATTGGATCTTACTAGGGCTATAAGTGGGGTAAATGCAGAGATCAATGGTAGCAGCAGTGTTGAGGTTGGGCCAGGCACAATAGGGGCATTTTTCCTGGCTTACCTTGATGCAGTCCCCTGTAGTTTCTATGTGACAGTGCAACTGCCCCATGGAGCCACAGCTCTAAGTCTGATATAGTAATCATGCCCCCCCACAAGCATTAAGCCTCCCCTTTATATGATATTCTGGGCAGACATAAAATAAGGGCCCATGATCACTTGGTTGTATGTGTTGGGTGTATATGTTGCAAGGGTCAAGAGTTATATCTGGAAACCAAGACCCTGGAGGTGCTGTCTTTGATGTCCTGTGGTGGACCTTGCCAGTGGCCATAAAATAGTGCCCAAGTGAGGTTCATAGGCTGATGTAGAATTGGATCCTCTAAAAGCACGTGGCTCCTCATCGGTGTCCAGGGCAGGAGCGAAATCGACTGTAGAAGAAGGGTTGTCATTGCAGTGAAATTTTAATCGCAAGGGGATGCTATGATCTGGGTGAGATTTCCAGGTCTCCTCTACCTGCAACTGGTGGAAGTGGGTGTGGTAAAGCCAGAATGCAAATCTGTCTACTTTGAGTGGGGTGGGAGTCATGAGAATTACCAGGAATTACAGGAATTGCCTTTCCAGCGTGGCTCAAGACTGCAATGTTGATGTGGCCGGATGAGAACCCAGTCTCTGGGTTGGAAGCTATTGGTCTTAGGGAGGTAAGCAGTAGAGTAAATATCTTATAGTCTTGGCAAGATTTCCACCCTAATTTGGGAGAGTGCTCTCAAGCTTTGGGTTAAGTCTATTTTACTGTCCTATGCAATGAGTTCAGACTACAGACTGGGGATTAGAGGGGTTGGGTGTCCAAACATAATCTTGAAGGGAGTTAAACACAATTGGTAGTGGGAATTCCTAACCCTAAATAAAGTATAGGCAAGGAGGGCCACCCATTACTCCCCAATCTCCAAGGCTAATTTGGTGAGGGTCTCTTTTAGGGTTCGATTCATCTGTTCAGCCTGTCCTGAACTCTGGGGCCTGTATGCACAATGTAATTTCCATTTGGCTCCCAGTGCAGTGGCTAGTCCCTGACTAACCTGAGAAATGAATACAGGTCCATTATCTGACCCTATCATGTGTGGGACACCAAACTGGGAAGAACTTATTCTAGATTCTTCTTGGCTACAGTGTGTGTGGTCTCATGTTTAGACGGAAATGCCTCCGTCCATCCTGAGAAAGTATCTACAAAGACTAGCAAGTATTTATATCTATATTTCCTCAGTTTCGCTTCAGTGAAGTCTGTTTCCCAATGTATTTAGGGCAAATTTCTGTTCCTCGGGTACCTTTTTCTCCTTTTGTTTGGTAAGCATTTACCAATTGACATGCCTCGCATTTTTTAATAATAAGAATATTTTGGTCAATTAGCTGACTGGCATGCCTAATCCATAAGGATGACCTTTGGAGTAAATCCTTAAGTTTTTTAGCCCCCATGTGGGAAGAGCAAAGGAGCCAATACAATAAATGATGCCCCATGAATTGTGGGAGAAGAATTTTCCCATTAGGAAGGTACCACCAGTGGTTTTCTTTTTGAGCCCCTTCAACTTGTGTGTCCCAGGCAGTTTCCTCTTGCTTGTAACAAGAGGGTGGGGGAAAGAGAGCATGGCCCGGGTGTTTCTGGGCTGGTAGGGTGTGGTATGCTTTACTTACTGACACTTCCTTAGCTGTCCTGCCTGCCAGATTGTTTCCTCGGGTGGCCAAGTCGTTTCCCTTTTGATGGCCCAGACAATGCAGCACAGCCAGTTTTGGGGGGAGCCATAGGGCCTGCAACAGGTTTAAGATTTCCTGTTTATATTTGATAGTCTTTCCTTGTACCATGAGAAAGCCTCTCTCCATGGATATATAAGGTAGCAAAAGCTTAGCTGCTATCTGCATAACTGTTAATTCTTCTGTCCTTTCCCAAGTCCAAGGCCTTTACCAGGGCTATTAGCTTGGCCTCTGGGCTGATATGTCAGGGGGCAGTGTTTCTGCACAAATCACCTCAATGTAAGGGATCTGGTCAGGTAGACCAGCACAGGGAGGTAGACCATGGATGCCACTCTATCAATAGTCTACAGGTCGAAGGTTCACCCCCTGTCCTTGCTGCTTGCCATCCAACATTGATTGAGGGCCAGTAGACAGAGAAGAAGGTGAACCATTTCTGCTTTTGGACAAACAGTCTGTGGTTGGCTGTATCCTTAAGGTCCTGCCAGTGCGCAAGAGTTAGATCCAGAGGGGTGGAAGGGGTTTTTTCCCATAGTAGTAGAGGGAGAGGTGGAATGGCTTAGAATGAACAGAGCAACAAAGACACAGACTCTGATCAAAGCAAACAAGGAACAAAACCAGACCTTGACAATGTCCCGGACAAAGAACAAGATACTTCCTCTTTTCTTGGCAAGGGAAGAACCCCAAAAACAGTCCTGACTGGGAACCGGACTTCCACAAAGATGTTCCTGATCTATCCCTGCCAGAGTTGGCTGAAACCTGACTTCAGCTATCTCAAGGCTTGCAGCAGCCAGTCTCACTGGCTACAACCTCAACACGGTCGAAGACTTCTTTCAATCGCTCCAGGATCACTGTCGGGACACATCTGTCCAGTGAGGGCCTGGTTAACACTTGGTCTTCTCTCTCTCCCAGAGAGCCCAAGTTCATGGTTCTGCTCTCACCTAGAGAGCCAGAGTTTGTTCTATCAATCAGAGAGTTACTCTCCCCCTGAGAGCCTTTCCTTCCCTCTGCTGAAGAGCTTAGAGGAGCATATATATCAGACAGTCAGCACATACATACATATTCACCTTACCGGTATTAGAACGAACATCTAGACCTTGGGGTTCCCGGCTGGGGGCTCCGAAGTTCCTGGCCAATGCACTAAATGTTGTGTCCAAGTAGCAACCCCCAGAGACCACCAGGATCCATTCAAGTCCAGAATAAAAAAGCAAGGTTTATTCGGAGTTCTATTCAGGCAGGCTGAGGTCTCCACCCATACTGGTCACAGAGCTGTAGGGAAGAGAGCCCACTCATCATTTGGGGTTGACAATATATAGGCAAAAACCACAAGCCAGGTTCATTTTGGGTCAAAGGGGTTAGTCTTACATAACAACAGGTGTGCCTTATCTCTAACAAGCCCCCTCCCCAAAGTGGTTATGTCTTACAAGTACCGGTTCTGTCTAGCAGGGCAGCCCTCCCCAGAGCCCTACCCAAATTTCTGCTTACTGATAGACCACAGAGCTAGGAGTTAACGGCTGGTCTGTGGCCAGGATGCAGAAGTACTTTGTGGTTAGCCCTGTGCCCTAGCTAGACATCCTGTTTTCAACCAGCCCTAGAAGCCTTGCATTTGAACACAGTTCCTTAATTAGCTATTAAGCAAATAAAAAGTTCCTTAAAATTTTAACATGTCCTTATAATAACTCAATATCCAATGTCTAGAATCCACTCACAATCTTCTGTTTTGCTCCAGAGATTAGGTCCCTTCTCTGGTTTCACCCTCTGCAGCATTGATAGGACTGGCTCCAACCCACTGCTGCTACTGTCCTTCCTGGTCATCCCATGGTCTGACATCTCAAAAAATGACGGGGGCCCTTGGTACAATGAGGCTGCCACCAATAGCTACACCAGGACTCTCTTCATGGTGCCAACCAAGCTTCCACTTCTCTCCATGAGCCCTTCTATCCTAGGGCTTCACTAATACTGAGGCTGCCTCTTCTCCAATCGCCTATCCGGGCCTCTCACAGTGCCAAACCACAGCTGCTCTCCATGACCCCTTCATGCCTTCAAACCACCTGAGAGAGTCTTATAAATTACCAGGTTAGGCTGCTAGTAAGATATAAAACTTTGATGGGCTCTGGAACACAGTTTCTATGCACCGACTCTGAAAAACCACTTCTCCTAAGTGTCTTTGCCTAAGTGATGTTGGCCACTTCTTAATCATTGCTAATTTCTTAGCTCCAGTTGACCAGCATCTATTGTCCCAGTAAAGCAAAGACTTACTTCACTATCTCTGTTCTTGTTAATTACAGCTAATTGTTCAGTCCCAGCTCACCATACTCAGATCTCATCTTTGGTCCTGAAGTGAATCACAAACTCCCTCTTGAACTTCACAAGTTAGGCCTCCACTATTTGCTTTACTCTCAACATTCTTATCTTCCATGCTACCAAAGAAAATGTCATCAAGTTTTGAACTCCTAATGGATTTCTAGACCAAAGTTCCAAGGTCTTTGCACAGTCTTTCTCAAAACAACATGTCAGATCTCTCACCATAGCCCATGATCCTGTTACCATGTTATTTTGAGGTTTCTATTTCTGTGATGAAACACCATGACCAAAAAATCAGCTGGAGAAGAAAGGGTTTATTTGGCTTACACTTCCATATCACTGTTTGTTATCAAAGAACCCAGCACTGGAACACAAAGAGGGCAGGAAACTTGGAATCAGTTGTTGATGCAGAGACCCTGGATACTGCTCACTAGCTTGCTGCTATGGTTTTTTACCTGCTTTCCTTTTAGACTCCAAGAGTACCAACCCAAGGAATCATCATCCACAGGGGCTGGGTCCTCCACCATACATCACTAATTTACAAAATGTTGTACAGGTTTTTCTGCAACTCACACTTCTGAAGGAAATTTTCTTTTTCGGAGGTTCCCTCCTCTCAGATGACTATGACTTATGTCAAGTAGACAAAACTATCCAGCAAACAGGGATCAAGAGAAAATAAACTCTAATGGGTCATGGAAGATATTCTAACTTCGTTAATAATTGATTCTGGGGCTCCTCAAACTGGCTAAACCTTAGGCTAAAATGCACCTTTGTTATTACGGAGATTTCTACTTCCTTCAATTGTGAAATCAATGAGAAAAAAATAAAAGCTAGTTTAGTTTCACTTTCCTGTTCTTAAAAATGCAGGAAATTCAGAAAAAAAAAACTGGGCCCACTCTCCTATGTGATTGGCTAGCGCACTCTGAAGGTAGGACAAAAGTCAAGACAAAGAAGCTACCCAAATTCCTTGTTTCTGCTGCAAAGATTCCAGCACAGCTGAGAGCTATTCCTGTCCTGAGCAGTGAGAGCATCCCCTGGATACAGGATATCCTGGTAACTAGGCATTCAGATCTGAATTTTCACCCTCCTCTGTCTCTTAATGGGAGCCTCTGAATAACAAGACATTTAGAGAGGAATCCTCAGAGCTGGGATCCTCAGTTTGAAAGCTTGGGGGTCTTTGACTGGAGGCAGGCAGGATTGACTTAACGATGTTCTTAGGTAATTATTCAAGTTTAGATAGACCTAAAGCAAATAACCAAGTTAATTAAAATTTACCCAGTTGCTTTAGTTTCGGGTTTTGTTTGTTTGTTAGAGGAAAATGAGCCTTTTGGTGTATATGTGTTGTGAATTATAACTATAGAACATATGAAAATTGTGGTGTCAATCTGGTTATTCTTTTCTTTTCTTTTCCCTTTCTACCCAGGTCAGCATATTTATTTTAAACTCTGGTGGAAGCTAGACTCGGGTGAAAGATGCCCTCTGTAAGATGCTTCTGCTATAACTTGCTGGGGAACAGTTTTAGAATTTTCATATTCTTATTCTCTCTGGGATCCTTCCTCTTCCCATGGATGTCCCTATGTTTTCTTGTCTTTTTCACTTTTTTTTAATACTCACTGATTTTAATCAGGATCACTTGCTTGTTCTGGTGTGGGGTTATTTACTTGATCATGCTCAACTGTCTAGTCATCATACGTTTAAAGAAAAATGAATCAATCGCCCCCGACCAGTTTCTAATCCTAAGCGAAGGATAAGGCATCATGTGCCTCTGATATTGTTCCTGCTGAAATGAGAACAAGCTAAATCTTATGTAACTCTCCTGCAGTAACCCAAGATGCCAGGAGTTTACGCCTGCAAGTGCCATGTCGTAGTCAGAAAAAAATTACTTCACGCCACTCCCCTTGCCCCATCCTCTGGTTTTTCTGTGGTGTTTTCTAAACCTGGTTAGGGTGGGGGATTAATAGATTTCGCTGTTTTACTTAAGAAGAAGCCCTCAACCATCACTTATTCTCACCACTTTGACCAGTTATGAGACTGTGCATTAGAACACTACCCACTTCAAAGAAATAAATAAAAATTTAAAAACCAGACGAAAAACCAAATGGGGAGTAAGCAACAACCACAAAATCCTTGTCTGAGCAAGGCTGAGATCATCAGTAATCTATGGTATAGTCCAAAATATTTAGAAGGAAATTGGCCCATTTATCAAAACAGCAGCGCTTGATGCTGAGGGCCATTTTTAATGAGGGAATCCTCTTTATCTTGGTGGCTTTTATCATGAAGTTGGGGCACCAGTGAAGAAAGGCATCCTTTGGTACTGATTAATATTTCATGGCACTATCTTTTGCACTAGTCATACTCTGTGTAAGACATTTAACACAAATTTTTCTTGTTTATTTTTCTTTTTCTTGTTTTTGAAGTTCTTTGAGAGTTTTGTACAGTGCGTTTAATTTATGTTTTATTTCATTTACGTATTCATACTCTGTGTCCTCATACACCAGGGCTAGGTGCTCACATGCTAGAGTATGCTTGTGGAGGTCAAAAGACAAGGTGTGGAAGTCAGTTCTGTCTTCTATGTGAGTCTTGGGATTTGAACTCAGATCATCTGTCATAGAGACAAGTACCCTTGCCTGCTCAGTCATTTAGCTGGCCCGAGACAGTTTTAGAGTGTGCATGTGTAGACCAAGACATGGGGACCTAAAGGATGGGAGGCTTTTGTAAAAGATCCCCAGCAACATTTTTCTTAGAACTTTCCCCCAGGATAAATGCAGAGGATACAGGCTCATGGTTGCCCTGATAGATCCAACTACTTTCAATTTCATCCGGGTCCAGTAAGCTTTTGTGAGTGGCCAAATTATTACCAACTAGTTAATTTTAGTCACTATCAGAATAGCTTAAATCTTATACCCCACCTTACCACCCACTGCACCCACCCCTGACCACCTCCTTTAGATTTAGTGAGGCTGCCTGAGAGTTGAACCTGGGTGTCTGTCCAGCTTGACAGACAAGTAACAAAACTCAGAGGGGCCCTGGCTTTATAACAGGACTTGCCTAGCCAAGAGGAGAGGAGCTGAGCGGCAACCCTCTACCCTGTAGAGTCATCATTTTTCTGAGTGTGGGGAAGAGGGTCTGGCTCTGTGGCTGTTGTGGACAGTGCTCTGCTGTGCTGCTAGTGGTGCTGGGGCTGAGGGCCTGGCCCTGTCAGCAGTCAGGCCGTCAGCAGGAAACAGGAACAGTTACCGCCTTAAGGAAACATAAAGTTAAGAAATTTATACAAAAAATGTGCATACAAATTTAGGTATTGAAACATCTAATCCCATAAATGTGTATAAAAATGTATTATGTACTAGCCATGAACATGGACACGATGTTTTGTGAATTACGACAACATTTTTCTTATGGTTCTGATGAATATTATTTTGGTTAAAGTCTATTTTTGTAAATGTTACCCAAAGAAAATCAGCATCTTACAAGAACCTTGTTGATATAAATAAGATTAATTTTAGATTTGTATCATTGTAGTGAAGTTTGGCTTTAGGTATTTTAATAACCTTTAACTATAGCTGACTCAGTCATACCCATATACTTTTTTTAAAAATCTTCAGACATACTCTGCATTAAAACAAAACCAATTGAAACTCTTTTTTCATCATTTCTAAAAATACATATCAGCATATGTATAAGCTTTTAAATATTTATCTCCTACTTATTGGATGATGCTTTACTTTTTTTTTAATATTGTGAAACATGATGTTATAAATAAACAACTTTTAGATGGAAATGGTATTTGTTGCCCTGTCAAACTGGGACGGATGCAAACTGATTGCTTTTTCATAGGGTCCTAAGCTTAATCACACCAATTTGACAGAACAGGCTCTAGGAACTGTTACCATACGTGAGATTATGTCCCCCAATACAACAGTCAGAGCTCTGAAGGGGACAGAAAACAGAACACACAGATTCTTTAAACTAGAGGCTACACAGCTCATACCCAAGAAGACAAACAGAATGGTTGTTTGCATTTAAATTAGAAAGTAGTGAAATTCTAACTCAAACCATTTATTGGCCTTAAGAGACTGAAACAAATCTGTGGATGCCATTCTGAGCAGTGACTGTGCTGAGGTCGGAGTTTTTGTTAGTTAAGCTAGAACCGCCATTGTCTGTTTTAGAAACTTTATCTTATCAAGAGTTAATCATGATAGTTTGAGCTGTGACACGTCATAGGAAAGCAAATAACTTTGTATATTCAACAAACAAATATAAATCCAATTGGCCAGGAGCTCAGGAAGAATACGCACTAACAATTCAGAACGTAAACTCAGCTTTCATCAACAAATCTAAGTTATTTGCCAAAGATTTATTTAACTTATGTGCGCTAAAAAGGATTTAGTCTCATCTAATAGTTTCAATTTAGCTTAATCCCCTCTATAAGGCAATTTGGTGCCATGGAAGCAGTATATGAGCATAAGCATGGATGTAGATATAACACAATATATACATACATAAAATCTATATCAAATACCTTTTAACACAGCCAAGGAATATTTGTGAAATTTATCCTGCACATCATTTTTAAAGTCTTCTGCTTTGATTATCTTTTCCATATCTCTAAGTGAGCTTCAATCTTAAATCTGTTCTTTAAAAGTATTAATTTTCTGTTGAAGCAAATTAGAAAACTTCTGTCTCAATTTATCGTTCCTTTAACAGGATGACTAAACAGAATGTTGGTGAAGGTGGAAAACAATCAGTCATCATGAAAACTAATTTCTTTATTAAGCTGAAATTTTGGCATGGCTGCTTACAGAACTAAGTTGTAAAATCACACATCTGGAAGTTTCTGAAACATGGAAAGTACAAATGATCTAATCAATAAAACAAACACAGATTCCAACCTTTGCCCCTGAGACACAGGTCTATAGGAGGAGAAAATACATTTTTATACATTAGGAAAATCTGGGATTCTAGAAGCACATTGGGGAACGTTGTTGTTTGAGTAGATTTGTTAAAAGGGTTGTGAATGCCATAGGCAGAGAGGCACACAGCATCATGGCAAAGACTCTGAGATCAGTCCCATGTAGCAGAAGAGGGAATCCTTTCTTACGGATCTCTGCCATGTGATTGATAAGAAGCCTATAATGCATGCTTGCAGTCAAGGACTCTATAGGTGCACAAGCACGAATCCTAGGGATAAAAGTGGTTTTACTCATGAAAACCAAAGCACTATCATTTCTGAAATGATCACCAACCAAAATGGGATTGCTTTCCAAAACAAGGTGCCCCTGGTTAGCACTTTAGATAGCTAGAATTTTGGCCCAAGGCTTCTTCAAATCTTCTGAGACCTCTTTTGAAGTGTTGGCAAAGGGGTTTGGAAAAAGCATTTGAAGATTCAGAAAGGCCACAAAGCTTTCTCAGGACCATCAAGGTATGCAAGAGCTGAAATCCAGGTCCCTGAGATGTCTCTCTTCCCGTCTTTGTCTCTGGCAATGGAGAAGGGTCCTTGCTGAGACAAGCCACTTTAGTTTAACCAACAATAGAAATTCATTGCATTTAATCCACATCTAAATGTGCTCAGGGCAAAAATAAACAGGCAAAATAAAACGGATTCGGTAAATACTTATTACATAAGCAGGCACATAGCTATTTCCAAAGTGATGCTTTAACTCACTCCACATCCAAAAGACCATAGCAATTTTATTCATGGGGTCCATATTTATTCCTATAGGTGTAGGTCAGCTTTTAAGCATGCTCTTTTTAAAATTATATTCCCTCAGCATGCTAATTTTTAAAGTGATGGATAGAAATGCTTCTCTGAATCCCCAGCTTCCACAATAATATTTTGCTGACAATAAAGAAAATGATAGTTTGAAGGAACTGAACGCAGGAAGAAATCTGTCCATGAAGATACCTGACTTGCTTAATCAATAACAGATTGGCACAGGTTCTTGTCCTACCTGAACATCCACACATGGAGGCTAATCTCACATGTCTGTACAGCATTCAGGATACCCAAATATTTTTTTAGGAATGTCAGTAGCTTTACCTCTTTTCCATCTCATGATAGCTTCTTGTGTCCAGACTTTCCATAAATCCAAGGATTAGAGAGTTTAGTGGAACCTGAAGGTTGATAGCTCTCTTTGCTCATGGGCTCTGCTTCGAGGACTCTGTGAGCTATGGAATTATGAATGAATATCTACCAAGGGATCTCAGTGCTGTAGAAGTGAGTTATATGTGTCCATCTATACCTGTTGTTCCTACAGTAACTGACCTAATACCTGACAGATCCTCCTTTCCCACAGGGCCATTTATGATGTCAAGCTTATAAAAATAACCCAAGGGCCAATACAGATTGGCAAATTCAAGTTTCAGGAGTTGCTGTTATCTATATCAACTCAGCCTTCTGACTGCTCTTTCTCCTGTCTCCTGCACATGTTGTCTGTGTTTATTTGTAATGCTACAGGTGCCCTGCTTATAGCATCTGTGTACCAAGAATCCATTGGGATGGGTGATGTCCCTAACAGGACTTTATCTGTTTTGGCATCTTATTCAGTTATTCAGGGAGGCCAAGTCTCTTCTAAAGAAAATGGTCCTAGGACAAATCTGTGTGGCAATGTTGACTGAACTGGCTAACACTACACCCCATATAAATATGCATTATATTTTGCAAAGTTTCTCAGTTCACCATGAAAAGAACTTGTCCATTGGCCTTCAATCCAACTCTTTATTGGAAGAGTGTTATATATTAGAGATCAGGGTTCATGAATAAATCTTAAAAATAAGAGACTTTGACAAAAGAGCAATTGAGAAAATAAACATGCCAAGCAGATAAATAAGGGACTGCACGACAACCAGAGGCTTGAAATTGTGAGGAACATTACCAGATCTAAGAAGACAAATAAGAAAAAATATTTTTCTCAAAAGTACTGTAACATGAGTGGAGGCCAGCTTCTTGGTGTTTCTGGACCTCCCGCTATCCCACAGCCGGCAAGCCCCAAAGAAATAACACAGAGATATAAATAAGTTATAAAGCTGATTGGGCCATTAGTTCTAGCCTCTTACTCGCTAACTTTTCACATCTTGATTAACCCATTTTTTGATCTATTTTAGTGGGGTAGATCACATCCTGCTGCTTTGGTGATCTGGTCAGGAGTGGGAGGAATCAACTTCCTGCTTCCCTGAATTCTCCTGTTCTCATTGCATCATTTCTACTTCCTGTCTGGTATTCCTGCCTATACATCCTGCCTCGCTAATCAGCATTTATTCAAAACATGACTGACAGATTACAGAAAATGCTCCCATACCAAATAACATGAGGACTGAAAACTTCACAAAGGCCAAATAGCATGGATGATAATGAATAATAGAAGCAGGTACAGTAAGTCATGCAGCCCAACAAGGAGGTCATGACCAAATACAGATGATTCATACTGGAATTTAGAATATGAGGGGCCTCTGGTCATGGAGTCTACATGACTCACAGGCACAAAGCAGATTGAATATTAAGATGGATCCTCAAAGACACAATGGAGACTAAACATTAAAGTCTCATGTGATGGTCTCAGATCCTGCAGAAAGAATGGCCCTACTGTGTCACTTATTGGTGAAATCTAGAGAAGCCAAACTCATAGAGGTGAAAGGCAGGGTGATAGGCAAAGCTGTGGGAGAGGGAAATAGGATGATGTTGGTCAAAGGACACAAAGTCTCAGATGTGTAAAATGAACACAGTGGGAGATCAGATGCAGGAGTGCAATCGTTAAGGATGCTATGTGGCAATATACATAAAATTTGATAATATATAGATCTTAAATTTCATAAACATCCTCCTGACTCTTCCTTCTTTCCTTCAGTGCCATTAGTTGCTCACAGTCATGGGTCAGCGGTTCTCTTCACCGAAGGATGAGCACCACCAAGAATTGGCCTCCAGCTTTAACGAATATTTTAAGAAGTTTAAGCTAGAAAGCAAAATCATTCCTCAAAAAACCTTAGCTTCAATTGAATTAAACTTGTCAAAAGGAAACATTCAGGGGGCAAACTCTTCAATCACTAATGCATTAAAAGAAATTGAAAGCACCCCACTCGATGTTGCTGTGACTGGAGAGTCTGGATCAGGAAAGTCCAGCTTCATCAATGCCCTAAGGGGGACTGGGCATGAAGAGGAAGGTGCAGCTAAAATAGGTGTGGTGGAAACAACCATGGAGAGGCATCCCTACAACCACCCAAAGATTCCCAATGTGGTTTTTTGGGACCTGCCTGGGATTGGAACCACAAATTTCCCACCCAAAGATTATCTGGAGAAAATGAAATTCACCGAGTATGATTTTTTCATCATTGTTTCTGCCACACGCTTTAAGAAAAATGATATAGACCTCGCCAAAGCAATCAGCAGGATGAAGAAGGATTTCTACTTCGTGAGAACCAAGGTGGACTCTGACTTAAAAAATGAGAAGAAATTCAAACCACGAACCTTTGACAGAGAAAAGGTCCTGCAGCAGATCCGCAGCAGCTGTGTGAGGACCTTTCAGGAGAATAACATTAAGCAACCACCCATCTTCTTGATCTCTAATAATACTTTATGTGACTATGATTTCCAAATCCTGATGGACAAGGTGGTGAATACTCTCCCTGAATACAAACGTCACAATTTTATGCTGTCCTTGCCAAGTATTACACGTGCGGCCATTGAAAGGAAACGGCAATTCCTGGAGCAGAGGATTTGGATCCAAGGTTTTGCATTTAGCCTACTCATTGTGAATCCTTCACAGACCATCTTAATGAACAAAGATGTGGAGGATCTTCGGAAAAGCATAAACCACTATCGAGCTGTGTTTGGAGTGGATGATGCATCCTTGCAGGGTTTGGCTAAGGACTGGCAAGTGTCGGTGGATCAGCTCAAGGCAAAAATGAAATCTCCTCATGTGTTTGAAACTACAAAGGAAGAAACAATACAAGAAAGACTTTCAAGACTTTATGAGGAGTTCCGTTTGGCTAAGGGGGATGTATTTGCTAAGAATGTTTATGTTAAAAAAATGTTTTACCTGAAATATTCTTTCCTTGATATGGTGACAGATGATGCTAATGTTTTTCTCAGAGAGATATGTATAAAAAATAACTTGGTGAGACTGGGCTCATGCCCAGGCGGCAGCAGACCGGCCTCAGGCACATTCGGGGGCAGACCGGGCTCAGGCACAGGTGGCGGCAGACCGGCGGGGACATGTGAAGTGGCAGGGACCAGCGGACCGGCATGGCAGGGGACGACTCGTGGGCTACCGCGGCAGCAGGGACAGCTGGGACCAGCGTGCAACACCCAGAGCAGATTGCCCCACTACAATTAAAGCAAAGAGGTAGGCCTATGGTTGGCGAGGTCCCTGGCAAAGGAGGAGCCAGGTCCTGTTCCCGGAGACCCTTCTGAGGGGTGAGAGGGATCTTGGCCCCCCGCAGGAGCCAGGAAACAGAGCGAGGGCATTTTGTAAGAGGAGCCCCTGGCCAACAGGGAAACCTGATCTGGTTTATTTTTTCCTTTTTTTAATTTATTTATTAAAGATTTCTCTCTCCTCCCTGCCACTGCCTCCCATTTCCCACCCCCTCCCTCCGATCAAGTACCCCTCCTCATCAGGTCAAAGTGCAATCAGGTTTCCCTGTCCTGTGGAAAGTCTGAGGGCCACCCACCTCAATCCAGGTCTAGTAAGGTGAGCATCCAAACTGCCTAGGCTCCCACAAAGCCAGTACGTGCAATAGGATCAAAAACCCATTGCCATGGTTCTTGAGTTCTCAGTAGTCCTCATTGTCCGCTATCTTCCAGGTTTTATTCCAGGCTTTTTCATACCCAGGTTAGCTGGCCTTGGTGAGTTCCCAATAGAACATTTCCATTGTCTCAGTGTGTGGGTGCACCCCTGGCGGTCCTGAGTTCCTTGCTCGTGCTCTCTCTCCTTCTGCTCCTGATTTGGACCTTGAGATTTCAGTCCGGTGCTCCATTGTGGGTCTCTGTCTCAGTCTCCTTTCATTGCCTGCTGAAGATTAATATTCAGGAGGATGCCTATATGTTTATGGATGGAAACAGAAAACACTATCCTGAGTGAGGTAAGCCAGACCCAAAAAGAGGAACATGGGATGTACTCACTCATATTTGGTTTCTAGCCAGAAATAAAGGACATTGAGCCTATAATTCGTGATCCTAGAGAAGCTAAATAGGAAGGTGAACCCAAAGAAAAACATATAGGCATCCTCCTGATCCGGTTTTAAAAGACCCATTAGATAGCTTCGATAGGAGGAGATGGGCAGGCACCAACGCAAGAATTCACCCAATAATCGGAAAAAAAAAATCAAAACACCAGAACCCAATGATCTTACAACAGAAGGACTTGAACACCCTAACACAGAAGAAGTAGAAAAAATTGACGATGAAAGCAATAGAGTCCCTTAAACAACATGTGAAAAATGCCCTTATAGAAATGGATGAGAAGTATAACCAAAAGTTTGAAGAAATGAGTAAATGCGTACATGATACCCTGGGAAACCAAGAAAAAACGATCAAACAGGTAATGGAAACAGTTCAAGAAT